ATTGCCAACTATGGACATGCGTTTTTGTCGGGAGATGGTGTTGCGGTGATGACCTGATATCGAACGACTCGTGGCAGACGAGCAAGCAAGTTTCTTCTCAGCGAATGGTAAGTGTCCAGTGTCAAGCACAACACGTGGCTACCGACGTTGTCGACGTTTCGAACACTTACCGCTTTCGACAAAAGTCCTGGCATCTAGGCTAACTTTCTGGAAAGACTCGAAGTCTTCCTTGAGTCCAACGCCATCATGGACAGTAACTGAAAACGATCCACTATTCAATCGGTGGGTGGCGAAACGTATCCGCATCTGCGGAGTCATGGGCGATGCGTACTCTAAGTGGCTGGAAGTTTACACGATGCCTGCCACGACGTCCAAACACGTCATTGATGTTCTACGGTCTCTTTTACCTACTTTTGCCCTACCGAAAATACTTTCTCTGATAACGCGCCAAATCTTGCTTCAAACAAAATAAACAAGCTTTTGAAGAAAAAAACCGGCGTCAGGCATCACATTAGTGCACCATACCATCCTGCAACTAACGGGCATGCAGAACAGATGGTGTGCGAAACAAAAAAAAAAAAAGCTTTTTTGAAGCTAACGGAAGAAGCAGTTCAGTGAAGAATCGCCAGGTTGTTGTTCCAGCAGCACGCCGACGGTCTCATCTTACACGGTAAAAACACCCGCCGAAGCAATATTCGGCGGTTCCCTCGATCTCATGATACTATGGCTTACAAACGAAGATCGAGAGATTCCCAGATCGAAAGTCATTGCAGCTTATTCGATCGGACAACTCGTCTACGTAAGGAATTGCAGCGGAAGTCGGGCCTTCCATGTAAAACTTGAGTAGAAAAGGCTCTATGTTGGTTGACCAGAAGGTGTCATCTCTCTGAATGCGTTGATATCAATGCCCTTGAGTGTAAATATAACTGAGTCACAAAACTCTCTTTGTGTATTGTGTAACTGCCCTTGTATTTGATAGTAGAAGCTATGGTGGTGATTTGGACCTTTCACACCAGGCTCCTTTTTCTTATTTTTCGCCTCATACTCCTTTGCGGTTTAAGTATGCTTCAAGAATCTTTTGGAACGGGGACACTTTATGTCAACGAGGCCATTTGTTCCAAGTAGTCAATCAGGGAATTCTGCTAGAAATCCGTCCCTCCTATTAACGAATAAGCCGCACTTCTGCACAGTGCAGTTTTCCTGTTCCACGTACAGTTGTAAAGCAGCGTCCTCATTGATTCTACCATATTCTGTTGCGGGTAAAGAAAGTCTTTGGGTACACGATACTTGAAACAAGTCTGGCACTGTACGTGTTGGTTCGACACCTACTAATGTCGTCGTCCTTATAGAGCCTCATCATTTAATCATTACCTCGTCACCTCATATTGCTCTTCATCAACAGTAAGTACAATAGGCTACCGACATATTACAATTCAAGAATTGAAAAATTGAGTCGTTCAGTGCTTCAACAAGTTTATTATTTATATAATGTTATTACGTTACATTACCTCGAGACGATCGACGTCCATCGTCGATCTTCAAATACTTATACATGTATATAAATTAGACGCACAAAGGGGGGGGGGGGGGGGGGGGGGCGTCGGTGGCCGAGTGCATGGTCTAGCGCACACCAGCTTGAAGCACGTGGAGCGAAAGCTCACGCTGCAGAAGTCACCCCACCCCTGCCCGTTTCTGTCTGGATAAACATCGTACCGGCGTGCGGTCGTGTATCACTACTGCGTGGTGCACGTTAAAGACCCCAGGCTAGCGGTTGTACCGCACTGGCTAAATTGCTCATCTACAGCTGAGACACCAGACGCCCACTAAGGCGGACAACACTTTGCAATTAGACGCATAAAAAATTGGGTTGTGTGTGTGTTTATACAGCCTAGAACTTGGTCTGCCTCACAGGGGCGACGAGTCTCCCAGCTGTAGATGAGAAATTTAGCCAGTGCGGTACAGCCGCTAGCCTGGGGTCTTTAACGTGCATCACGCAGTAGTGATACACGACCGCACGCCGGTACGATGCTCATCCAGATCGAAACGGGCAGGGGTGGGGCTCGAACCCAGGATCCCTGGGTTCTGCAGCGCGAGCTTTCGCTCCACGTGCTCCGAGCTGGTGTGCGCTAGACCACTCGGCCACCGATCCCCCTAATTAGACGCATAATAACAAAGAGCACAGCGTGCCACCTCTTTTCTTTGGATGCCTTTTTTTAAACCAGCGCGAGCTCGCGCGTTCTCTCTTTTGAGACGGTTAGAACGGTCGCACATAAAACCCGCGTTTCTCCTACCCGGCCGCTTCCTCCTCTCATTATGTGTAGTTAGTTATAACTAATTAAGCTATAATAATGGTGTATTATTCATATTTACTTTCAGTTTCAGTCAGGGAAAAGGAGTTTCGCGGGAACTAGAGCTAATAAATGAGCTTCGCTTAGAGTATCGGCACTCTCTTCCCCGACAGTGTTTTGAACGCCGCCATTCTGGTGCTTGTGCAGAGCAGGCGCAACTGCGATCGTCATGACTCTAAAGTGCGACATCCTCAGCATTAGATTCGGTGTTAGGAAGCTCATGTAATCTTGCTTTGCTTTGTCGGAGACTGTTTAAAGTGGAGGACGGAAAAGCGTTTCTTGTGATTTCAGATAAAGCTTCAAATAACTGGCAACCATGATTTTAAGCCACAATATGGCCAAGTGTCGCTACTCTGCCGCGTAGCTTATTTAATGACACTATTCATGCTCTTGTTCAAGAGGCTTGTAACACCTGGAGGGGCCATGACGTAAGCCCCGTGGATTCCACAAGCCACGACCTTTTGACACCTGCCTCTTCCTCATTGTTCCCGCTTGTGCCAGTAAATTAGCTACGGTTCAGAGTAACGACACTTGGTCATATTGTGGCTTAAAATAATGGTTGCCAGGTACCTGAAGCTTTATCGAAAATCACAGGAAACGCTTTTCCGTCCCCCAAAAATGTTTAAACAACCCGCGACAGAGCATTGCAATATTGCATCAGCTTCCTATCAACGCATCCAATGCTGAGGAAGTACTTTTGGATCATGACGATCGGCAGTTGCGTTTGCTCTGAACAAGACCCAAAATAGCGGCGCCCAAAACAAGTTTGGGGAACGGAGTGCCGATACTTTAAAGCTCATTTAGTGACTCTAGGCATGAAGTGAACTCGGGTGTGTTATTTTCCTCTTCGTCTTTATTGTTTATTGATTTCAATCATATCGAATAATGAACACATTATATCACGCTACGCGTGTGTAATTATTTGTCTTATATTGATTAACCTGACCCAGTACTTAAACCATTCATTTATCGATAGTAAATCTTCAAATATATTTTTTAGATGTGAAGGTAAAAGGACACGGAGATTGATGATGATACAGACGCCAACGCCGCCCTCGGAAATTTTTTGAACACTAGAAATCAGCAGTTTGTCTGCCATCCGCCAGGTAGCGCAACAAAACACCCAAACAGTTTTTAATTGTTTTTTAAAATTAGCTAAGCTCTACACCTATTAAGAAACCAAAGCAAGATCATTGTGAAAATTTAATACATCGCATTGTATATGTATTCCAAACAATAAATGTTATTAGATGCCAATAAATCTGTTTAATGTCCAAAAAAGATATGCGTCAAAAACAGGTAAGTTTGAAGGGCTCCTGGAGCGTTAGGACTTTGAAAATGAAAAAAAGCCATCGTCCACCTCTTGGGCAACCATTGTAGCTCTAAATGTTATAAACGATTTTATCATAGTTTAATTATTTCCACAGCGGCATTTGAAGTACCATGACTCGAAGCACCAAAAAGTGCTACGTTTGATATAAAATATCTAAACAAAAAATTTTTACACAGCATTAAATCTTTTTCTGCATATTACCAATTATAAGCACTACATCTGTAGCTAATTTCATTGCCCTAGCGCTTGTCATTAAAAACATATTTGTGATGAAAAATGTAAATTTTAGGGCAATATTTGGAGGGATAAAAAAAAACAAAGTAGTGCAAATACCAAAAAAGTGTATCGTTACATTCTGCTCGGACATCATCTTAACAAAACTGCTATATTGGAACCGTGCTATCTTTAATGAATCGTTCATAAAACATGAACTAGCGGAGCAAGTGAGGGTCCGCGCCATCATATTCGCAACGCTACAAACGCGCATGAACAGTAAAAACCAACAGATACATAATATCAAATGAAAGAGGATTACATTGCCTTTCGAATGACATCAATCCCACAAAACAGTATTTAAAAGGAGTTGAGTAATGACCTGCCAAAAAGTACCTAAACTGCCACATTCAGTGGGACCGTGGCCTTAACTGGTTAAATCACCGCACAGAGAGGTCCGACATCTTCGGTGGCTGGCTTCCAACTGCCTCGCACACACGCACGAGCACGACGAGCGTTCCCTTCGTCGCGTGCCGGTGGCTTCTCTTTTATGTTTTTTGTTCACCCCGCACTCAGCGTCTCCGCTACAATATTGTTTCGTCCCGCATACCAGATACGGAACCCACGTGACAGAACGGCAGGAAACAGGAAACGTCTATAAAGCAAAACTAGGATTACTTACGCTTCGCAGGTCCCGCCACACACTGCTGTTCTACGACGATCATCCAGATGACAGCCATTTTGCCGTGAAAGTTGCGGATTCTATTCCCATTCCGTTCCGGGGTCGCGAAAGCGAGGAATGATTCCGGAATCATTCCAATTCCGTAGTGGCAACTCCGCAACACTGCTTGGCTTCCGCTCTTAGCGTCTTGTTTGACCTGTGCTTCGACGGCGTTCGAAGTTTTGTTTTTCTTTTAATTTTTCTTGTGAACGCGTTCCGCACAAGAGCAGGCACGCTTCTACATGTGTGACTGTTTGAGACGCTCAAGTTTGTACCACCCAAAACAAGTCCTAACAAGTCCCTTTCCGCAGCACCTTCTGGGCAACGCTGAAGTCGTATACCAGTGAATGCACCTGGCTCGTCCTCGGCACAGCAATGCGAGCATCACGGTAACACATTTATTGACCCACAGAGTACACTCCAGTGCTCAAAAGGTAAAGCTTCCTCCAAGGTCAATTTTACGTTGAGATCCCTGTTCCGTGCAAAGGTGCATAGCAGCTCCAGCTTGACTCCTCCTGTACAGTGGACGAAGCGGCTAAAAATACTTGTATCCAGGCATCCAGTCGTTGCTCGGCAGTGGAGGCACGACTCCCTGCTTGGTCGCGGTCCACTCTTCCTTCCCACCTGCGGCAGGGTGAAAAAGTACGGCGCTGGAAAAGCATTTCTTCTCCCGAGAACTGAGAGAATGTCCGACGTCCGCTTCACCAATGGGTGGATATAAGGGGGGAGGGGGGGGGGGGGGGGGGGTATCCTGGTAAAAACATTCATCGGGTCTAAATATTCATCAAGTCAAAATATCCATTAGGTCACATGACACCAGAGTCAGAACATCCATGGCGTCAAGAAATCCCTCCGAGTCAAGAGACCCATCTTGCCAAAACGTGCAACGAGCCAAAACATCCATCCGTGTCAAAACATCCCTAATGTCAGATCCATAGAGAACCGCCCCCTTTCCCCACTAAGTCCTCCAAGGACGACGTTTTTTAATTAAAAAGAAACCAACATACACCAGTTTTTTCTTTTTTATGAAATGTTTAGTATTTGGTGACATAGCAAATATTCGTCCAACAAAATAGGTCTGGGCGACGTTTGGCCAGTGACATCACCTCTCCGCAGACAGGTAGAGGACACGTGATCGTACCACAACGGCTGCATTTTCGGTGTGTGTGCGTGTTTTTTTTTTTTCCTCAAACAAACTTTTAATACTTGATGGAACGACCAATATGTAGAATTTGTAAACGCCAAATTCTAAGCATTACTCATACGCTCCACTCCCAAGAATTCGCTCCACCTCTGCGAACGTTTCTACATGAAATATAATTCAATATCCACAATCACCCCCCCCCCCCCTTTCCCTTTGCCGGGTGCAGTAGCTGAAACAGTTGCCGCCAGGGTAACGCCCCTAGGGCTCTTGGAGACCCTTAGGGACTTAGCATATGATTGGTCAGTCTGGCCGAAACTGGAGTAACAAAGCGCCTGCGTCGCGTCTTAGTCTCCATCAAACTGCAAAGCTTGCCGTGCATTCCGTATTAGGGTAAAACGGAGGGAAGAATTTTTTTAGTTGGAACGATCATGCAGGGGACAGTTCCATTCCCGTAGCCGTACCTTGGTCACACTGGGGCCCGTGAAATCCGGGGTTGCAATCACACACGTTGGGCTTGACGCACGTGCCGCCGTTTGCACAATCTTGCACGCACATAGCTAGGAAATATCGGAGAGGTGACTGTAAGTTGGTCGAGGAAGAAATGCCGAGGCTAGACACCATACGTACGGTTCTTGCAGCGGCGCCCCGTCCAGCCATCTTTGCAGGAGCATTTGCCCGGCTTCACGCACTTGCCTCCATTCTGGCACGGAGGACTACATGTTGCTGTTGGAAGAGAATACTTTTGTAGGGACAGCTCATATTCAGCGAAATTTAGCATTTTTGGAGCTGAAACTGCAGTAAAAAGTCTGGTCCGTTGTGGAGAAGCGACGCCATTGTACAAGAGATACCGGCGATTCTTTACTTGCCTCAGCCGGGGTCAATGGGTAAGATTGACCATAGGTGCCTCATGGGCTGTCGACACAGGACACGCTTTCTGCTGTGCACTGCATTTGCTGAACGGAAGCGGAGGTCTTCCTACCGTTGCCAATCCGCATTAAAAAATCCTTTCTTTTTTTTTTTTTTTTTCTTCAGGGGGAAAGGGACTTTGTTAGTATCGTTAGACAAAGCCTTGGGGCGTGATCATTACGTAGGAGAGGATATAGCCGATCCACTCACAGACCCTGTTGGCTTTCGTCAAGGCCTCCGGTGTTCTTGTCAGCCACAAACCTCCCGCAAACAAGAAAGGGGAAGAGATGAAAGCGAGGAGGCGAAGACGAAAGCCGCGCTGTTTGCATGGTTGAAGCCCTCGCTGAAAACGACCGCGCGCGCCAATACGTTCACGTTCATTAATCCGTTACCATAAGTACCTACATGACAGCGAAAATCTGACGCCGTCCGTCTGTGGACCAAACAGTGGAAAAGGAAGCGCGCTGCGTAGAGAGGAGAAGAGTAGTGAGGGACAAAGGCGAGAGGGAGGCGACGTCACAGGGCGAAAGCCAATGCGCGCGCGGGAAACCGGTGAACAGCGAAAGCAGCGTTAGGCAGCGGATGCCGCTGCTGAGCGTGCAAGGAGGGCGAACGAGACAGAGGAGCGGAAGCAGCGCCCAGCTCGGCTGGCTAAAATGCGGCGCATGCGGTAAGCCGGCACAAGTCTGCGTGCGAGAGGGAGCGAAGCGGGCTCAGCGATACACTTCGCCGGAAAAAAAATTAAAGGAAGATCCATTGGTGGACCTTTAGGGAATGCGTTAGCATGACCCTTGGAAAAGGCGACACACGTCCCCCTTTGGGAAACGCTAGCAGTGACCCCGTAACGAAGCCAAAAAGAGGCAGCAAGAAATAGAGGAAGCAAAAGAGAAAGTCAAAACAGAAAAGTGGAAAGATTAGCGTTAAGGCCCGTTCACACTCTTGCGACCGAGTACGACCGAGAGAGGCCAGACCGGTTTTTAAGCCTCTTGCGATCTCTTAGGACCAGCTCCGCTGCTGCGCATCCTGTCCTAAGAAGTCGCGAAAGGCTTAAAAACCGGTCTGGTCTCTCTCGGTCGTACTCGGTTGCAAGAGTATGAACGGGCCTTTAACGTTTCCAAAAGGGGGACGTATGTGGCGGTTCCCAAGGTTTGTGTTAACGCGTTTCCTGAAGATCCACCGATGGATCCACCAATGGATCTTCCTTCATTTTTTTTTTAAACGTGTACACTCTTGTTTTTTTTATTTTTTCCGCGCATAGCAGAAAGCGTGTACTATTTGACGAGCCCTTAAAAAGCGAGAGGCACGAATAACGTTTATTTCGCTTAAACAGGCGACCACACTCTAGACAAAAGCCCACGCGTCAACTTTCCCACACAACACTCAGAGAACAAATCATTGCAATTTACGGAGGCAGCTCAGCGAATGACGATGCCGAAACATATGTTTAGACGAAAAAACGCAGTCTCAGCTGTGACACTAAGCAATGCAAGCGTGACGTTTGGCATTGCTTAATGTTACAACTCAGACTGCGTTTTTGGTCTAAACGTATGTTTCGGCATCGTCAATTGCCGAGCTGCCATCCGTGTGTTGCGGTAATTGGCTCTCCGAGTGTTGTGCAGGAAAGTAGACGCACGGGCTTTTTTTACAGTGCACCCCTCCGACGTCGGTTGCCAAGTTTCACTGCTGAGTGTCCAGGCCCAGATCCCTTTAGACAGGAATACTAGGGAACTTTCGTAGATCCTTAGAGCTTTGCGTTGCCAGAGGGTGCTCGTGCCGCCACGCTGCTAAAGCCCCTCTATCCTTGGAAAAGTGGCGCCATTCATTACACTCTGCAGCTCAGATTCAGCACGCTCCTGCAGGGCCTGCAATCCGCAGCTTAGAATATGCGAAAAGCTTTGGAGTTTCTGTAAATCCTTCACGCTGCCCCACAACGGCCCTCCACAATTTGCAACGAGATCCGGAACTCTGCAGACAAGGTTTGCGGCGCGCTTGCGCAGTAGCGGTGTCTTCCTTCTGGAGAGTGTAGCGGAGGTGGAAACACGGTCTACAAAAACTCCTTATAAGAGTGTTTGAGTAGATCATTTAGTCTCTCCAGCTGCGCTATCAGAAATCTGCTGCTGCATGTATCTTAGCGGAGGCGCGATTTCAAGTTTTAGTAGTACGTTCGCAACCCGCTACAAGTTCTAGGCTTATAGGGTTACGAGAGTTAACGCAACGCCACTCTCGGCTCTTTGAGATACTGAAGCGTACGTAAAACAATTATTTGTGAGGCAATTCTTAGGCATCTTCTATTGTTGTCGCTATCGAGATATAATATTTGCATTTTATAGGAAAAAGCTAATGTTTGCTATCATTTAATAAGATAATGATCATTATGTTTGTAATTAAACACAACTGGCGGCCAAGACGCCAAGCCGACCCGATTTGAGCCAAGCGCAATGCCATCAAAGCTTGGCGCCTGATTTTGATTCAATCGTAATCAAGCGTTCTCTTTGTTTTCTTGTAGTTTTTTTTTTTTTTTTTTTTTTAATGGGGCGTGTATTTTAGCGGATTCGCGGGCGGATTTGCGCAGGCGGAAAGTTGATTTTGTAGCCGGCTGGCGAAATCGATTCGTCTCTTGCGGAAAATCTGGATCAGACCGGAAACCATTTCCATATTTTACGCCAACGATGAGTTAATTTCGTCACCCGGCTCCAAAATCCACCTTCAGGCTGCGCGCATCCGCCCGCGAATCCGCAAGTGTGAACGGGTAATCATTGTTCGCCGAAAATAAAACGCCGCGGAATTTTCCCGGACCCGCGCTTGCCTGCTCGCTTCTTTGGTTGGTTCATATTTTTTTTCTTTTTCGGTGCCGTATTTAGCATCTTCGTGATAAATCGCTTCTTGTCGCAGTCCTGAAACGGATAGGTCGCGGCATATACTTCTCGCAGCAGCAAGATATCATCCGCCCCTGAGAAGCGCGATGGCGGAGCGGATACTTGCGGGGTGGCGGCCATCTTGAATTGTGTCCTTGTCGCTGAATTTCCCTATATCTCGCGAGGACTAGTACTCGCGAGACGCATGCTAGCACACTGCGCTATAATTCTCGCAATTTTCGTAAAATAGCGCGCCTCCGCTAGCGTTAGCAGTTCCCCAAATTCTCCGCTAGCAGCGCGCGTGCCAACTACACCCTAAGAAATGCCTGCGTGTCTACTTACCTGAAAAACACTCAAAGAGCCAATCATTGCGATCTAGGGAATCAGCACAGCAAATGATGAGATGGAACATCCGTTTAGACCTCAAAATTAAGTCTGCGCTGTGACATAATGCAATGCAAAGCGTCATGCTTGCATTGCGTAATGCCACAGCGTACACTTAATTTTGACGTCTAAAAGGAAGTTCTGCTCCATCATTTTCTGAGCTGCTTTCTTGGATCACAGAGTTTGGCTCTTTGAGTGTTCTGCGGGTAAGTAGACGCGCAGGCATTTCTTAGAGAGTGTAGTGTCTTCGCTCTTGTATATAGCGCAACGGGAGAGACAAAACGAAGCAAAACTTTCTCTTATTTAATAAAAAACTGAAGAAATTCATGAAAAAAAAAAACGAGTGAGAGGTCAATTTTAGAGTAATTTCATCTCGTGAATCTGAATATCATGTTCGTTTTCCCCGAAGATGTAACTAAACGCGAGGACACACGAAAAACCTCCGACCAGTCGTTACGTCATACTAGGATCTTTGGGCCGCCAAGCGCGTGTCGCCGTGTGGGGAGCGCGTGCAATTGCAAGCTTGCCATATGTATTCTACCGTACTGACACCGGCCGTGACTTCCTTTTCTGACTTGTGTGAAAAAAGCAAGAGTGCGCGTGCACAGCTTTGATAGGCGCTGAAAATGTGTGAGAGCGGAGATTCCAAAAACTCCTTTTCTGACGTAACGTTCCGAAAGAAGGGGCTTCGGCGGTACTTTAAAATCGATTTTCTGCAGATTCTCTACTCCAAATAGAAAAAATAATCTCGATATTCGTGATCCTGGAGGCCAAATTAAGACGACTTTTCACTCAAATACAGAACCGCTTCCCCTACCGGAAAACCCAGCATTATAACGTTTCACCTATCTGGATTATGGAACTGGAAAACTGTTACTGGAAAACTAAAATCCAGATCGCAAACAAAAAAATAATTTCTGAAAAACTCAAATCCACATAGAATCTAGATGGACTACCAGTTCCATAATCCAGATAGCGAAAATTTTTACTGGATTTTCGGTAGAGTCTGAAAAAAGCCCGTGCGTCTACTTCCCCGCACAACACTCGGAAAGCCAATCACCGGAACTTATGGAGGCAGCTCAGCGAATGACGATGCCGAAACATGTTAAAACCAAAAAACGCAGTCTGAGTTCTGACATTAAGCAATGCAAAACGTCACGCTTGCATGCATTGCTTAATGTCACAACTCAGACTACGTTTTTTGTTCTAAACATAGGTTTCGGCATCGTCATTCGCTGAGCTGCTTCCGTAAGTTGCGTTGATTGGCTCTCCGAGTGTTGCGCGAGAAAGTAGGCGCACGTGCTTTTTTTAAAGTGTAGGGTCAGTTTCAATTTAAAGCCGTCCTTTGCGAGGGGACCCCTTCTGAATCCCTTGAAAAACACTACGCCTTCTCTTCCGCTACTACCAGGGGAGATGTAATGCGACATAGGATTCAAAATCCGTTGCACCCCTTCAAACGTCCGCCGAGCTCGGCGCACTTGGTCTGCCTCAGAGCGGCTCCATTTGCGGGCCAATTTCTCCCAAATGAAATAGTGCGTACAGAATCCAGCTCTCGCTAAATGGGCGGGAAAATTTAATGGGTACCATACAGGAATGCAGGTTCTCTCTCTAGAACTAGCGGGAAATGCTGCCCGCTAAATTTAGCTTGGAATTTGAAGTGACGTATTAATATATATCCCCCCCCCCAATTCAGGTTTTCTTTCCGCTCAATTTATTTGTCGAGTGGTGACGGACCGACGCACGTATAATCTCGCTGTTTGGTGGTCCTAGAAATGCTGTCGTACGAGGGGTCATCAAATGAAGCCGGTGCGTGAGCCTTTACTGAGACGAACAAAAAGGTACATCATAATTAGCGTTCGTTACAGCCACTTTAATCTATAGCGATGGTCTGCCAGACCCGGCCACGGGCCGCATCCGGCCCGCGGAGGTCTTCCGACCGGCCCATGGCTGGCCGCGGTTCTTCGAATGAAGCCCGGCCCGCCGCCCGCTTCCAGCAGGCCCGCCCGGCGCCAAAACAAGCGTTCGCGCAAAGAAACGGCATAGTCCGCAACACGGACCAACCGCGTAAACGACAGAGAAAACAAGAGAAATCTGCCTATCGAAAGGTGTGTTCTCTCGCCATATTATTCATTGAACATCGTCCTCACCAGCATCACCATATCAAGACTTTGGTCGTTCTGAAGCACGTAATAATAAGAATTATTATTATTATTATTATTATTATTATGCTTTTTCATGTATTGTATTGAAATTTGTGCAATAAAATTATTACTATTATTATTATTATTATTATTATTATTGCCTATTGTCGTATCTGTTGCTTATGATCACCATCAGTTCTATCATTCCCACTAGCCTTGTGCCCTGTCGGAACATGCCAAAGTTTCTATAGACTTTGAGTTATGCCCTGGTGAGTTTTCTTAGTCCTAATTTTGGTACAGTGTCATAACAAGCTAAATATTGAATTTATAAAGTAGATATATTAATTTATCTTATATTTGTTTTTGTCAATGTTTACTCTAACTTTCAATTTTTGACTTAAATGCTTTCTATAGGATCATTTATTTAGTTTTTCCTCGTTTATATTTACTTATTTATTTTCTGGCCCTCGAGACAGCGACAGATTCCCGATCCGGCCCCTTAGTCAAAATGTTTGGAGACCCCTGGTTTATAGTGACGCTGTTCGATAGAACGTCGAACAAACGCTAGTCCCGCCCGGTGAATACCAGGCGGGACTAGCGTATCGTTCCGACTTGCGAGTGCGAGGAAGCATAGACCTCCGCTCACGTTTTGTGCACTGCTTGCCAGTCCATCCCCTGGCACACTTGCAGGTCCCCTTGCGGGCACATCGACCCCCGTTCAAGCATGGAGGGGAGCAGCTACCTTGAGTAGAAAAGAGAGCAGCTTCACAATGTTGAAGATGTTATTGTTCATAATCCAAGCACTGCAAATATGGTCTCAAAAGTGCATTGCTTAATATTACTGTAACATGCATGTTCTAAGCTACAGAAGGCTAGAGCTACTGTATGCTCCCGAAGGCCGCAGAGTGTAGCGTAAAGTCCCTGCGTTAGAAAAGTCGGCGCTTTCGGCGCTTGTCGGCCACTCGAGTGCCCGACTTCGGCCATATTCAGCAAGGTTCGGTAGATCCATCTGTCGTTCTGCGCCAACGGTAAGTGTCGGAAACCTTTATCACTTTTTTAATGTGCAAATAGGCCGCGCATGAATGTAATTTTGAGTTTTTTATGATGCTTAGAGCTCGTAGATTGAGTTATGACCATAAAACGAGGATCTCAAACAGCACTTTAGTGCTCTTTATTGCTTCAACTTACTCAGTCATAAATGTAATGGGTTATCCTTTATAATTACTTCTGTAACTGGTTGATTTGATTACTTTACTCGTTACGTTACAAATAATATTGCTTTAGAGCGCCTTTCGAATGGCGTCACAGTGTCACGTGTGACATCATCGAAGCTACATGCCAAGGAGACAAAATCTCCGAGGCTGGTCCTATAAATGCGATGCCTTTAAAAGCTCTCGCTGGAAGCAAACCTCCTACTGCAGTATTGACAAATTCAGGGATGCGAGAGCGCAGGTCCAAGCATAGCTGTGGTTGCGCTGGTGTTCGTGCATCTCAAAAATTTTTCAAATGTTATAAGCTGTGTCTATGCCGTTCCCAGAATTGCCCAAAACCATTTATGTGCGAGTCTCAACATAAATTCACTTCATACAACGTACCCATGCACGCTTTCTTCTGCATACACAAATAAAGGATAAGTCGTGAGAAAAAACAAGACCGAGAAATTTAGCCCCCGTTAATCCACAGTACAATCCGAAGTCTGCGTGTGTTTAGTGTCCCTAGACAGATTACATTCCAGTTGAAGCGATTTTAACCGTATCATGCAATGGAATTCCTATGTGTACCTCCCCTTGGGCTCTGCAGAAACAGACGCGCATGCCTGTTAGAGCTCTTAGCAATACATCCGTTCCGACTCATCACTTAGCTTACTTTCATGAACACGGCCAGTGACCAACGCCAACTGCTCTCCATTGATCATACAGTCTGAAGGGCAAAGGGTGCCTTTGGAAACTGACAACGTTGGAGACGTATTGTCCTCCACGTACAGAAATGCCATATATGGCCATATATGTAAGATGGCGATATGACATTACTTGCCCAATTCTTGACAGGCCATGTATGGCATTTCTGTATGGATCCTCACGGACAAACCAGGGCCCGTTTTCTGGAAGCTGGTTAACTTCAACCGCGTCAGAAATTTAACCACATTTCCCTACAAGCGGGAATTTTAGGTCACGTGACCGGCAAAGCAGGGACGGCGGGGAAACATGGCGGTGCCCCTCCCAGCGAGCGTCGCTCGCTTTGGAATTAACATGTCATAGTCGCTGCGCTATCGGGCACGTTTGTCAGCCATGAATTGTGCAGGAGGCTTTCGCTTTGCCTTCTTTCACATAAAGCGCAAAGTATGAACAATTATCTGCCCATTTTTTTAGATCGTCTTTCGATTCTGGCCATTCCTAAGCTTAAAGGAACGCGGTGATAGTCGACATGGCAGTGTCATTGGAACCCTAGTGGATTGTCTTGACTCGATCGGCCGGTCACTGATGGCACGCAGAAGCAGACCACCGTCCACGCACGAATCTCCACTTGGGCCGAAGTACGCGATGTTCATTTTATGAAGAAGGTTTTATGTAGAGTTCTTACACGCCGGCCAACTACGCTGCCGTTGCACCGCCCGCCTTTCACTACTCACTTTACTGATCTTCGTCGTCCTCTTTCGCACTTGGAAGGATTTTCGACGAGGATTGTCCTGACTTCAGACAGCCAAACATTAAGTAATTTACCAAACAAGGATTGATTTGCTCTTACCTTACCCATTATTTGTACCACGAGCAACAAAAAGTGTTTCCTATAAGCTCAAATGTATGCCGCGCTGCGTCGTCAAAAGCCGGCAGCTCACGAACTCGTTTTTTTTTTTCGTTTTTTTTTCTAAAGGTTTTTTATGTAGTTACTTATATTCAATACAACCAGTAGGTGACACGAGATAGCACCTCATAGCAAAACACGGAGCTATCGCGCATCCGGCCCTCGTAAAACTATGCTAGGTACTATCGGGGAAAAATGAAATGCGAACAGAGGAGCGCGTGGCTCGCGGTACAGGCTGCGCCGCCTGGAAGTGAGCCTAGGAGCGAGGGTGCGTGGCCTACTTCGCTGTGTTCACGCCCCTCGATTGGCGCTCCCCCAGCTTCGGCAGTGCGCCTCTCAGTGCGCTGAAAGCTGTCACCGCTATCTTTGCCTGCTCGGCGAGTGCGGCGAGCTTCTTCGCACCGCACGCGCTGAGCCAGCAAAGATAGCGGTGATAGCTTTCAGCGCACCAAGAGGCGCACTGCTGAAGCTTGGGGAGCGCAGAGGGAGGGGCGTGAACACGTCGGAGTAGGCCACGCACCCTCGCTTCTAGGCTCACTTCCAGGCGGCGCAGCCTGTACCACGAGCCACGCGCTCCTCTGTTCGCATTTCATTTTTCCCCGATAGTACAGTGCTAATCACACTTGTCTATAACGCGCGAGCGTGCGGCTTTCTCCGGGGAGCGCTAGACTGGTGGCATTCGCGGAAACTAAACTAGTCACGTGGCGCAACATGGAACGGCCCGCTCGAGGGGTGTCCTGCCCACTATCAGCTGGCGGCGAACGCGGAAGGCTGCCCGCACGCTTTTTACAAACATCATTGCTCGAACCATAAACAAACTAAAGCATGAAGGCGTATCAACAATGTTATCAAAAAACAAAAATATATCATAAAGCACCTTACTTTTATCGCTTATCAAGCTGATAGAGTGGGCAGGACACCCCTCGAGCGGGCCGTTCCATGTTGCGCCACGTGACTAGCTTAGCTTCCGCGAATGCCACCAGTCTAGCGCTCCCCGGAAAAAGCCGCACGCTCGCGCGTTAAGGCTGGTTCAGACATGCACAACGAGCGCGATGCGTCCGTTGCAACCGAAGCGACCGGAACGACCGCTCTGCGCCGCGCGTACACACACCTGCAACCACTGCAACAAGCGCAGCGGGTCGGCAGCACGGCGACCGCCTCTCCGTTGCCGTCAGCTGTTTCGGCGGTGCCTCCAAAAAAAAGGGGACGCGCTGCCACTCACTTGCGTAACAGAAAATAGACAGACCGTCTTCTATGACCTCAAGCTTTATTACTCTTTTCAGGATAAGCTTGCAGGGTAGTGCATAAAAAAAAAAAAAAGAAAGATGCAGTACGCCGTCTTGCACGATCACGACTTTAATACACGACTTTGCCAACAGTACAAATCTCGCCACACGCCTTTTCTACGATTATAAAAGACGATGTAATCTTAGCAACGATATAGCAACGTAGAAATATAATTTGACAGACGATGCGAGCGTTCAGGATTGCTAACACTAATCACCTTTTTCGGGCGATGAAAACGAGTAAAAAATTCGCATCCTTTATACGGTACGCACCAGTAATACCTTGAACTTGGGCACACGCAAGGAATGCGCCAAATCAGAAATCCGGGCGATGTGCGAGGACACAAGTGCTTAGAAAGCACCACTGTAGTCGAAGTAAACAAACACGACGGCACGGGCGTTTCTGCTGTCTTGAGAGTACAACCACGACATCGCCGCACGAGTAGGTGGATCTTCCCTTCCAATACGTGCTGGGTTATCATAGCGACACACGACGAAAATTCACAGTCAAGGCTAGCGCTTTTACGCGGAACGATGAACTTTCACCCCGACGTCGACGATCACCACCGACGCCATGTTTGCAGACAGAAGAAGGACGAGGCCCGCGACCGGCAGACCGGCATGCAACGCGCTCGACCCATTCTCCTCGACCTGTGATTGGTCTGTCGTTGCGGTCGCTTCGGTCGTTTCCAACGCATCGGGGAAAGTTGGGCTCGCTCCAACTCCTTGCGTCGTGAACGACACGTGCGTGCGTCCCTCCGTCGCTATGGCAACTGACGGTTGCAGACCGTTGCAACGGTCGTTTCGGTTGTTCCGGTCGTTCCGGTCGCTACGGACGCATGTGTGTGAACGGGCCTTTAGAGACAAGTGTGATTAGCACTGTACTTGTGCGTACCTACTAGGAAAGGACTGTTAACTTTCTGCCGCGGTTAAAGTTAACCAGCTTCGATAAAAACGGGCCCATGGATTAGTGGCCCGAGTGTCCATTGGGACAGTACGCGTGCAGGCGTTCTTGAGAGGCTTGGTAGAGCTGTAAAGAGAAAATCACTCACTGACACTACAGTCCCCTCCAGAGCTGCCGGGCGGGCAGACGCACTTGTTGGGCTCGAGGCAGGATCCACCGTTGACGCACGGGGGCTCGCACTTGGCTTCTTCGCACCAGCCGCCTTCCCAGCCTTCCCCGCAACTGCACTTGTCCTCACTCACACATGTTCCGCCGTTCTTGCAGTCCTTGGCGCACATCTCTGAAAGTGCATGACAGCAGGGCAGTAAGTGCGGGACGCATTTTGTTTAATGTGCATTTCTAGGGCCACCGAATCGTGAGGTCGCGCGCGTCAGTCTGTCGCGGCAGCTAAACTGAGCCGGAAACCCTGATATCAAATGGTGCCAACTCAGCCATCTTTCGGCACATTGACTGGACACAAGGCCCGGTCAAATGCTCACGCAGCACTCGTGTCCAATATGTGATCGAAATCGAACTAAAAGTTGCTCTACACCCACTACAGAGAGAGACATATACTCTCAGGCAGTCTTGGGCAGTATCTAGTTACTAGTAACGAGTTACCTGTAACTAGTTACACTTTTGGTAACTTGTAACTGTTAACTCGTTATTGCTTAGTGAAAATAACTAACTGTAAGTGTTACTATTCTTTGACTGTAACTGTCAAGAGTAACGTCGTTACACTTAATTCTGAGATTTATGTGCAAAAATATTGCAAACAGGACCACCAAACTGTCTCACAACTCGTGAGAGGATCTCAAGTCCTGATACGCGAAGCGTACAGCGAAAATTGCTGCAGAAACCATCTGGAGCACGAGGAAAAATAAAAATAAAAATAAACTACATTTTGGGTGATTCTGCTTGGCCGAGCTGGTCCCGCCAACTGGGAGGATGGTCACGTTTGAGTCCGCACCCCCGTGTATGGTACAACGCCCAAAGTGTAAGCAGAGGTAACAAAGCGCGGCATTTCTAAAGCTTTTTTTTTCTTCGTCCGGCAGAGGGAGCGTCTTGGTGATTGTCGCCCCAAACACCCTCAGGCTTATGGCACAACAGATTTTTCAAACCTCATACTTTTGCCGCCAATCATACGTTTCCTTCCCCTCTAATTTAAATCGTCCAACTCTCAGATGCACATTTGCAGGGTCTCCACTTTAAGCCCATTAGCTCTTCCTTCCCTTTTTTGCAACTTAATTACTGGCCTTGCTTCCCGTCACCCAATTGTTGTCCCCCATTGCTCTACTTCTCGGATCCCGCCACTTGAGAAAGAGTATTCGTTCGAAACGTCTGTGCTGTTCTGCTTGTTTGTGTTTTCTTGAAATTGAAAGACCGCCTTTAGCCGAAACCAGGGGCTCTTGTCATCAGTTGATTTATCGATATTCAAGGCGTGGGCTTTCCGGGTGGTCCCTTCAAGTTGGGGTGGTAAGTTGGAGGAGCGCAAACGCGTCCGATATGATTAGGAAGTTGCGGAGAAAAGAATGCAGCAGCTGTTTGGAATTTTATACGCAGTGGTCGTTTGTACCCCGATCAGTGCTTTTTTGCACCACTGCCGTGTTCAGGAGATTTGACGGAGGAATGTTCCCGCAACATCGCACTCCAAGCTATCAAGAGAAACTTCGTGTTTCATGAAAGATTGTGTGCACGCAGTTGAAAACGATTCGACCGACGAGTGGATTGGAGCGGCAAAAGACCACATCTACAAAGCTGATTGCAAGGTATGACATATAATTATTGACTTTACATTTGCACGATTTTTACTGCTTCGGTACATTGCGCCTCACCACATAAATTGGAAATTAGAATTGACCGATTGTAAAGTCGCCATCATAATTGGATATACCCGAGATCTACAGTCGTACTGTTGTGATCGTGTATACTTTATAGGGGTAGCACTTATTTTAAAGTTCATCATGAATCATCAGCAGGTATCTGCTAGCTTGAAGTTTTGAAAAACTAAATAAAAGGTCAAAAGTGCGAAGAAAAACAAAACGAACATATTCATTTTTATAATGCAATTAAATGCAAAGGTGCAAGCGAGCTGGACAAGAATGACGAAAGTAAACCCTGGAGAAGGGGAACAAAGAGGGACAAATGTTCCCCTTCTCCAGGGTTTACTTTGAACATATTCAGTATGGATCAACCGGCCCAAATCCAAGTTTTTATGAAAAACTGAAGTCGGCTGTAATTTTTCCAAAAAAGAAACTATAAATGCTTTATCATACAGTCGATTTACCCCAGTACTGTCTGAAATCATGATCTTGTTCAGAGAGCGCTTCATGGTAAAAATTGAAATGGGAAGAACCAAACTAGTTAACATTAGTTATTGGGAAAATTTTAGTTTCTCATAAAATCAGATTTACTACCGCGAACAACATAATGTCATGAAAAATCTATGCTACTCGTGGAAACTATAGGGGGCGCCACTGTGCCTAGGGGGCGCCACTGTGACTAGGGGACGTCACTGTGCCGAGGAGGCAACTCTGTGCCTTGGGAGCGCAAGGGGCGTTACCCCCGGCCAAGGAGACATTATAAAGCGCAGCGGCGACGCCCACCGAGGGGAGAAGCGGGGCATTGTTGTAGAAAGTACACGCTGCGGCGGTGTCGACCTATTACCTTTGTTAAATACTAACTTTCCCTTCGCACCTTACGAATAAATTTGGTTTCCCGTTTTCCGAAACTCTGGCTCCGTGTTGTTCCTCTGGGTTGGCACCGCAGCAAGGCAACTTTCTTAGACACTTTAAGAGCATATTAAGGAAAGGTTCTTTTATAATGCTTTATAAAAAAAATATTTTTCGAAATTAACGACGAAGTAACGGCGTTACTTTACCGAAGTAACTGTAACAAGTTACTCTGTGAATTTGGGAACTGTAACTGTAATGGGGTTACTTTTTTTCCTGAGTATCTGTAACTGTTACACTGTTAAATTTTAGCAATAACGTGCTCATGACTGCTCTCACGGATACGTTGGAGTATTCGTCTATGGCCGTTATGTGTTACGCTTCTTTTGCAGGCAGTTCATCATTTCGTAACTTCGCTTGGCAAAACGCGTAAGTCGAATGAAAATCGTAAAAAAAAAAAACATTTTTTTTCGCGACTTATTGTCGCTGTAAAGGACTTTTTTTGCGAAAATCTCAACATTCGCGTGTGAAGTTCTGTATACGCTCCGACTGAGCCCCGCAGTATCTACCACGTAACACTGAAGAAAGCGATAAAAAAAAAAGGCAGCGCATTTGCTCGTGTGCTCTCGTCCGCGTTTTCTCCGTCACTTCTCTGCTACAACTGGTTGTATATTGCCCGGCATTCCTTTCGGCGCTGTGGATGGTGCTGCACATTTTTTCAATTGTAGACGTCTATTGCAGAAGTCTCATTGAAGTGAACCACAGATTATCTGGGACACTGGCTCTGCTTATCCCGGCTGGCCCAAAAACTCAATTCCGCACGCATCATACGGAAGTATATACCCACAGTGGGTGGTTGCATTGGAGAACGGTAGCAATAAGGGAAGGTTGCTGAAGGCAAAGTGTGGCTGCATTGCCGGCCTCAAATGAGGATCATGCATACGCATAAAAAGATATTTACTCTTTGTGCACCGTTTTCCGGAAAATCCAGGAGTACACTTGCACTTGTTTTTGCCAAGGCACAGCCCCCCATTTTTGCACGCTGGTCTGCACACCGCTGCAAGAAAAGGTGACCTTAGCAGCGCCCTAACTTTAGTAAAATGTCAGCGCGCGTTCACCCAGTGAACGCGCGCTGGCAGGAGCATTGGGGTTTGGGCCTGATCTAGGCGTGGACTCTATGCCAATGACCAAATATGGGTGGAGGACAGTGGGGGAAACAAAATAAGATAAGGTTAGAATATTGGTGGCTGCTCGTGCTGCAAAACCCAACAGGCTCTAGGTTCCTAGCGCTATGGGACCGCCTGGCTTAAAGGATCACCATAATCACCACCACCACCATCATCATCATCATAGGCAGATTTTGAGTAGGAAAAGAGAGGGGGGGGGGGTGCACTGCTCATGGAAGCGGCGTGTCTGAGCAGTTCCGTAACTCAGTTCATCTAATAACGTTGAGTAATTGCCATGACCACATCAATACTGCGACCTCCGTGACTATGACATCCAGTTTAGCGAAGGAAAGACTGAAAGAAGGATTCCACTTTTCTTGGAATTACACAGCGACAAAGAAGCACTTCGGTCAGAGGCGTTGCGTGCGGAGTCCCGTTAGCGCCAGTAATTAAGCTTGTGTAAAATGACAACCATTCCAACCCACTACCGTTCCATGGCCCCTTTAAAGTAGGATCACGGATCGGCAGTGCAACACGGGGCAGTGCGCATTCAGGAGTTCGGTTAGTGGAGTTGTACACATTCTCACCTGACTCGCAGTGGTCCCCGGTGTACCCGACCGAGCATTTACAGCTCCCGACAGACGTCAGGACTCCTCCGTTCAGGCACTCAGTGTCCTTGGAAGCTGAGCTCCCTGCGAGCACCGAAGCGCATTAAGACAAAAAGAAAGAAGAAAGACGTTTACAAATCTTTGTAATGCGAAATTATAGCGCAACTCTTGAGGAGGACGAGGGGAGGGTACGGAGGTTTCCCCTCCTCCTCCTGCTCCTCCCCTCCTCCTCATTTCCTCCTCCTCTTCTCCTCTCTTCCTTTCCCCGCTAAATTTAGCGGGGAAAATGACGTCACAGGAGTTAGTGTCACGTCACCCATGAACACACTCAGTTTCTCCGCTAGATTTAGCGAGAAAATTGACGTCGCCGTGACCTTAACACCAATTCAATTCCGCGCTAAATTTAGCGTGGCGGTTACCCCGACGGCGACGACGATGGCGGCGCCGACGCCGACGCCGACGCCGACGGCCACGCCGACGCCGACGCCGACGGCCACGCCGACGGCCACGCCGCTATACGCGGAAACGGGCGCCTAAGAGCTGCGCTCTAAAACGCTGGATGTGTCGCTGTGGGTGCCAGACGATCATCGGCGAAAACCTTTAGGATCGTGGTACACGTAATAAACAAACGTGTGCAAAGATTTTGCACGCTTTCGGCTTTCCACCACGTAACACAAAGAACGAAGAGAAAGCTCCCCTAAGGGGCCGTCCACACTGGACATGACCTTTTGTGGTGCCCGAATTTGAGCTCCATAGGCACGCACGCAAAGAGTATTAGTGGCAGACATGATCCGCGGGGACCCTTGCAGGCACTCCAATAGGACGCAAAATCCTGCACGCAAAAGTCGGAGTTCTGTGCAGACAGCCTTTATTAAGCTGATAGGTTCGGTGGAAGCTACAAGCTCGTTGGACCAATGATACGTCGATACCTCGCCACGCCATCATACTCGCGCTCATACTCACTCAACGATGTAAAGGGGCTTAGGGCCGGTTGCACCAACGCCGCTTATCTTAACCCAAAGCGGCACTTTCCTAAGCCGGCTTAGCGCCTTAAACCGAGCTCAGGTAAGCCCGGGTTTAAATTCCGGTTGCACCAACGTTAAGCCGGCTTTACAGACGCGCCCCTAGCTAAACGCTGGATTTGCGTAGGGAATCTAGGGACAAACAGAGCGAACTAGGGAACGCTCAGAGTGACGAATACGATTGGCGGAAAGGAATCACGTGATGTAAACAAAAAAAACAAAAAAACTGCCGTAGTAGTTGCTGTCGGCGTCTGCTTCTCGCTGTATTTCTTCGGTGAGTAACAAATTAAAGGTCTCCAAATTCAATCATTTTTCCGTTTAACGTTCAAAAACAGGAGTCAACGCTTTAAATAAACACGAATGCTCTTTACATCTGTGATTGTGTGTTTAATATCGGTTGATAACAGGATATTTTGACAGTGCTAGTAGTTTTCGTGCTCACATTTTGAGGTGAAGGAGCCCATCGGGGGCCCCAAATCTCTACGAACGCGAGAAGGACACTCTACTCGCTACATCGCTGAAGACAAAACATCATCGATATAAGTAGGCAGGTAAGATGACTACTAAAATCAAGTCAAGCCTGAGACCGATGAAGTTCAAAACAGTGACGAACACGCCACGGCAGCTGCGAAAATGCCCGGAAATCGTCGAAAAGTCGTCGGGAGGTCAGGTCACGAGACCTTGCATTGACGGTACTCGTTGCTATCAGCAAGGTGACAGAACTGCGCTGTACCGTCATTGAACATCCGCTGCAGCCTTAAACGAACTTTAATTTCGAACTGTCAAGTTCAGAAAAAAAAAAAAAAAAACTCTCACTGGTACATTACATTGTGCCGATAAGAACGGTCGTCTCTTCGCATCGCCTGCCCCAGCCTGCCCCGATACAGCAATGAACGAATCTAGCATAGTAGTCGTTACGATTTGTCGTAACGACTACTAATATTACTAAAAAATCGCGATCACCAAAAAAGTTACGGTTATGGAACGATACAGTTTTCTGAAGCCAAGATTCTACTCGCGAAATTAGGAAAATTCACTGAAGATTGTCTCAAAACTCAGAAAACGAAAGAAATTGAATTTTCGTTGTTTTATTACTTAAAAGCGCCGTAATCTAATGCGAACGGCAGAGGTGTCGACAATCAGCTGATCGCCGAGATCATGTACAGCCACGATTCAAAGGCGCGGATCGAATTGAAGGATACGCGCTGCAAGTGTAAATAAACAAGGTGGTAAATAACAATACGTTACGGTTATGCGAAAATTAGTAAGTACATATGGATAAGCTCGTTGACAGAAGAACCAACGGGAAGACAGACGTGAGCCCCGTGAGCCCCACAGACCCACAGCTCCGTACGTATCTCGGTTAGGGCTAACACGCCCTGAAAGTGGAGAGCCAACTTGAAAACAGGGGTCGATAAACACTTCACGCGACAATATTTTGCATCCTTGTCACAATCGAAGGTCGTTTTGTGGAGACTTTCACGCTGATGTAGCCTAAAACACTTTGCACAACCAATTTCGTCCCCCGCGTCGACCGCGACAAACCAGCCGCCATGTTTTTAATCCAGGATTAAGAAACAACCAAACGCAAAGCGCCCAATGTTGAGCGCTTAAGTTAAGCGTAGTTTAGTGCTAGGTTTAGCGATAAGCGAGTTTGGTGCAACCGAACGAAACCGAAACTAAGCTTAAGTTCCCGGCTAAGCTCCGCTTTGCGCTAAGCGACGTTGGTGCAACCGGCCCTTAGAGTGATAAACCCGAAGTGCGAAAGTTGTACCCCCCCCCCCCCCCCCTCTTTTGGGTTGCCGCCATCTTATACGCAAAAGTGACAACTCGTCACGTGATCTCATAGAGCCGTGACGTCACCGGTAAGAATGCAGCGCCCAGAGCTGGTGGATAAGAGTTGGTTTGGTGCGCAGTGATGTATGTCAAGATCTGAAGGAATGAGACTATGCGGGGCGCAAGTTCATCTGCTTCTGGAGCAGGAGTTGTGGTGACGTCAGAAAGACGCCGAGCTCTGATTGGCCCCGATAGGAAGGATAGTGGGTAGACATCAGAGCAGCTAGCATTGAGGTCTACCCACTCTCCCTTCATTAGAGCCGATTAGAGTCCGGCGTTTTGACGTCAATGCAATCCCTGCGGAAGAAGCAGACCAACTTGCAATCCGCATACGCTTTTTGCGCAAGATCGCTCTGGATATTAGCACCTTCGAGACACCATCAGTCGTATCGCCGTAGCGGTGCTCGGGTACCCATATATGTTCGAGGTTTGATAGAGCTTTTAGCGTGAAATTTTCCCATTCTCCTAGCTTTAATTGGACGTTGGAACGTCTGAAATTTGAAACGAAAAGTATGCGTCGCGTGTACACTCTAAGAAATGCCTGCGCGTCTACTTACCTGCAAAACACTCTAAGGGCTAATCTCTGTGATCTACGAAATCAGCTCGGCGAATGCTGAGGCTGAACATCCGTTTAGACCTAAAAATGCAGTCTGCGCTGTGGCATTACGCAATGCAAGCATGACGATTTGCATTGCGTAATGCCACAGCGTAGACTTCATTTTTAGGTCTAAACGGATGTTCCGCCTCATCATTCGCCGAGCTGATTTCGTAGATCGCAGAGATTAGCCCTTAGAGATTTTTGCAGGTAAGTTGCGCGCAGGCATTTCATAGAGTGTAGGGCATATGGAAAGTTGTTTCAGCCCTAGGTCGCCGCATAATCACCTGAACTTTTAGTGAGGAAGCTCCTGCGATCTTTACCTTTTGTACTAATCAAAGATTTCACGATAGAACTTTTAGCATAAGCTTTTCGCATTCTCCTATAACTTGGTTTGAACGTAGGAATGTCTGAGCATCAAAGCGAAAGGTACGCGCCGCGTGTAGGGCCTAGGGGAAGTTGTTTCAGGCCAAGGTTACCGCGCATAGCCAAAGCAACCTGTAGCGAGGAAGCTCCTGCGATAGTTAAACTTTAGTATCAACGCTTTTACGAATTGGCAGTTCACAAGATTTTGATATAACGTTCTTTCAATGCAGTAGCTTGCATTCGATCGCAGTACTTATTCTTTTATAGTGAAGAGCTGGAGTTTGCTTAAGTGGCGTGCACGCGAAGGATTCGAACCAAACATTCGGAAAATAGTTCATCACTATCAAGCAGGCTCTGCTTGAAACGTCAAAAATATAGCCTCTGCTGCTGCTCACAATTGTTTCTACGGATTTTCACAAAGCAGTTAATTTATCCAAATAGAACTCACAAGAATGTTAGCAAGTCTTCACATTTGTTATTGGTCAGTGCACAAATTTCTGCATCCAAAGTCTCTTAGAAATTAGTATTGGTAGACTCTTAAAGGGGCTTGCCGATTTGTGTCAACAGTCCACGCTAACCTCCAGTTTAGATCAGACTCCACTTAGATGGTTGTCTCATCTATCATTTAAACATATAGAATATTTAAAACAAAATGCAGCCCCGCTTCTTAGACGTCGAGAGATAGCGCAACACATATAACAATTCGTTAAATTTAATGCAACTCGGAAATAGAAAATTAACTGCAATTTTTTTAATCTTTCGTAAGCTTTATTACAGCCATCATTTTCTTTATTCAGAGTTCATCGCATGAGTCGGTTGATTATTTACTTGTACTAATTACCCGAAATAATAAATTGTGTTTCTGTTCGTCGATTGCCCGAAAAAGCAGTCTTGTAGCAAAAGGTTGACTAACATTCTTTTCAGTCTTTTTAATATACTTTTTCCTTTCAAAAGCGTGTGCCGCTCATACTTTGTTTCGCCTCGACTTGGCAAAGAGCAAACGCTAAGGCCCCCTCGAGCCAATCGGAGAGAAGGAGTGATGGTATGTGACAACTCTCCGCATAAGGAGAGCACTCCTATGACAGGCTGTCGCGTGCCTCTCTCCAAAGTCCATATTGACTCCCTGGGACTGTACCCTAAGCCGTTTGCCAAATTAAGGTTAAACGGAGTATAGTAGCTGCTGCGCTAATTACCAGAGGACCTCATACCTTGGGCATGTATTCGACAAGAATGTTATGTCGGCGATCACTGTGAACTCGGCTGAGCGCATATTGAACTCGAATGCTGCATTAGCGTTCGACAGGAACAGGGGTTCACTCACGTGCTTTAAGCCGAAAAAAAATGGTGACGGTCAATGTCGTTTGATAGGGTTTTGCAAATGGTACATTGCCATTTGCATATGAAATGTCCTGCTATATAACAATGCCTATATCCATAATCATCACTTATTATTAAACTAAATGCTCAGAGGTGTGTTAACTTTTGTAATTCACAAGTTACACAAAGATTTTTTTCTTATGACTGGAATATTTGTTTTCAGTAGCTGGGCCTGTTTCGTGCTTATTATTGTCAGTGTGCTAAGATGTTATTATCATGTGTGTATAGTTTTAAATATCCTCTCTGCAATGCCTACCAGGTCCTGTGTATTAAAAATTCCTTATTCAAAATATAATTAAAGATCGTGGCACGCCCCTCTTTCTGCGCCTTGGAGCAGACACCAGGGGGCGCCGTCAGATAGCGTTTTCAAACAACAATTGCTGTATTACGTCCCCTACACCCAAATTTCTGCGATTTTCTAAAAAAAAAAAATATGCAGAACGTGCCTAAAAAGAGCAATAACAGTACCGTTGGGAATCTCCACGCATATAACTATTTTCATAGGTCAAATTTGATGGAGGTGGTGAGGACCCGAAAATGCACCCCCCCCCCCTCCCTAAAAGAAATTATTAGTATTCGTGTATTTCTCTTGCTGTTAGTTTACTAGGACATCTTGTCATCTGGAGCTGGTCATTTTTATTGATTAAAGCCCGACAAACAATATGCCATGAAAAGGAAGCTTCCACAAAAAGCACCGAGTAAGCTGAAACGAAGTATAGGAGGTGTTTGCCTGTCCTGGCGCTATTTTCTCCCTTTATCGGTGGCTTCAACTTCTTTCATTACTTACTTCGCAGTTTTATCAGCCTCCAGGTAGCGCCGCATGTATCGAAAGCCACGCGTTCCGGCGTTTGCGTTTCGTTCCGTTCTGATAGTATGGTGCCCGTTTTCTTTCAAAGGCGCAAGATCGCCTCATTAAAAGTTTATTCTCAGCTTTAAAGCCATCTGTTCCTTTCATTCGTGACATTATACTATAGGGAAACAAGAATGCGCAAGAGCTTTTCAGAAGAAGTCGGCGTACGCATTCAGACACGCGTCCCCACTTCTTGGGGGAGGCGGCGGAAACCGTCCTCGAAAAAGGATCGTGCTTGCTGCTAGAACCATTTGGTCCCGGCAGTCATTACGTCCGCATCGAGTAGAATTGTTGTCCCTCTAGAATTTTTTTTTAAGGGTCCGAATAAATTGAAGTCTCGCGACGAAGTATCGGAACTAGAAGCTCCATGGTGCAAAACCTTGCACCCTTCCTGCGCCAAAGCATCCTGCACAATGGCATCGACATGCGGATGAGCATTGTCGTGCAACAGAACCATATTAGATGAAAGAATGCCAGGGTGAAAGGTCAGTCACTGTTGTCTTCGACACACATTTTTTTACCGTACACCGCCCGTATTCTGCGACGAATGTTGATTGATCCACTGCCTTCCGCTGTTAGGAACTTAAGCAACGATCGTGATACGCCTTCGGCGAACTCCCATTCGCACCGTCCATGTTGTCAGACGGTGTCCAGTACAAACGCAGACATGCGAGAAGAACGAACGCTTGCTCGCTTGCAAGCGTTCGTTCTTCAAAGCCCGCGCGTCTACTTTCCGCGCAACACTCGGAGAGCCAATCACCGCAACTTACAGAGGCAGCTCAGCGTATGACGATGCCGAAACATATGCTTAGACAAAAAACGCAGTGTGAGTTGTGACATTAAGCGATACAAAACGTCACGCTTGCATTGCTTAATGTCATAACTCGGACTGCGTTTTTGGGTCTAAACATATGTTTCGGCATCGTCATTCGCTGAGCTGCCTTCGTAAGTTGCGGTGATTGGCTCTCCGAGGTGTTGTGCGGGAAACTTGACGCAGGGTCTTTTAGAGTGCACAGGAGTTTCTTCTGATCACGCCTGATGTTATCTATACTCGATCCGTTTCAATTGAACGCTGACCGCAGCCGACGCTACGCTTCTGCGGAGCCTACTGCCACCAGCGCCAACAGTGCGTCGTCGCAGCGCTCCTCGTCGCTATCGCCGGCTAAACTAACCACGCAAACAAAAAAGCTCAGGATCGCGGTGCACTCATTGCGCGTGATGGGTTGAGTCGGTGATTGTCATGGAGGTAGGAAGCTTCTGGAGGCGACATGACGGCACCAGAGGTGAAACCAGAAGTGTGGAGTGGCACGCCCCCAACCATGACCAAAACAGTTGGGGTTTTGGTCATCGTTGGGGGGCATGTCCCTCCACACTCCACGCCTCCAGAAGTTTCCTCCTACCTCCATGGTGGTCGTAAACGCGCAAAAATGGTAAGCGCCGTAACGATGCACTTTTGGCAGCTGCTTGATTGACTCCCCAGGATAAAAACAATACAACTCAAAGTTGAAAGAACAAGCGTGAGAGTCGGGCTTTAATCTCAGGCTTCGCTGAGGTATATACTGCTCTGATCATTTACTTCTGTTTTCATTCCTACTGCCTTATGTTTGTCATTCCGCGAGCCCCAAAGTAACTGAATAAATCACGAAACTGGTTTGTTTCACCAAAAGGTTTTTTGCGTGTCACTTGTAAGTTTCCTAATTCTGTTTGTTCTGTATTAATTCAAAAAGAAAACTCACTTTCATTGAAAACAGTATATCGTTTTATCCTAAGTACTAAAATCGCCTTTCAGGGCTAGACCAGTATTTTGCAGCTCTCCTGCCTCAACTCCATTGCGTTTTATTTAGACTGCTCGTAGACATATGGACGTTGGATAAAGTTAAGAACTTTCCTGTCGTTCTGAAGTTTCACTTGTCTGCGAATACTGCTCCCAGCCTTTTCTGTCTTTGCTCGAAATGTTCTGTCGCCGCACAATAGTGCACTATCCCATGGGCCTCTAATTCCCAAATGGGTGTTTGCGGACTTCTTACGGGTCCCTGAAAGCCTTCTTGGGGTCCCGAAGCCATCGACTGTTAGTGAAACCGAGCAATTAAACTTTTTTTCATATATTTATTGATGTTGGCTGTTTTGCAAAGCTAAATAGACCAATTCATGTGTGCCAACTTAGTAGGACTGATTATTCTCTATTTCAGAACTTCGGAGTTGGTTTGCAGACATTTAGTTTTCTTTATTTGCTCCTCTGTACTAATTATAATCGACCCGCTTCCCCGCCCCTCCCCGGGTGGATGAAGTACCCTCTCCCTTTCGTCGACCCAGAAGGGGCCCCCGAAACGTGAGTGGTTGAGAACCACTGCCATTGGCTATTGGAAGAAGGAGGTGGGCAGAGAGAACTACATAAGAGGGAGACGTCCCTTACTACACTAAAAAAAAGCCCGTGCGTCTGCTTCCCCGCACAACACTCGGAGAGCCAATCACCGTAATTTACGGAGGCAGCTCAGCGAATGACGATGCCGAAACATATGTCTAGACCAAAGAACGCAGTCTGAGTCGTGACATTAAGCAATGCAAGCGTGAAGTTTTGCATTGCTTAATGTCACAACTCAGACTGCGTTTTTTGGTCTAAACATATGTTTCGGAATTGTCATTCGCTGAGTTGCGTCCGTAAGTTGCGGTGATTGGCTCTCCGAGTGTTGTGCGTGAAAGTAGACGCGCAAACTTTTTTTGGAGTGTACAGTCACTGACAGTTACATATTATGTTTATTATTCTTGCTCCGTGATTCGCCCTTCGGGGTTCTTATCGGCTAATGCTGCAGTCTCATTGGCTGGGGAGCGACTTGGGACCTGCCACGCATTGGGTTGTTTTAAGCTTCCAATGGCCACATACAAATAATTTGAGAGCACTACCATTAACTAACTATTTATTTGATTAGAGAAAATTCAACTCACCATTGAGCTTCTGGTCGCTATCTTCGGCGCCATTGCCGGGGTCACCACTAGGGAAGGGAGCACATTTTGCCCTCTGTTGACCGGTGTTGCCATCTGGATACCCAGCGTTTGAATTGGGCTGCTGGGGAGTTTCCACTTCGGGCGTGCTAACCTCTTGGATGTCGTTGGAAGTGGCGTTAGCGTGCTCTGGGATAGAATCCACGAGGCCCTTCAAGAGGTCCCTCAAGATGCAGTCGGCGGAGCTTTCAGGAAAACGCTCCTGGTTCGCTTCGTTCGAGCCACCAACACCAGAGCCTTTGAGGCCGTACTCTGTGGTGGACGGCATCGTCGATTCCGCTAGGAAGGAGTCGGGAATGTCGTCAACGTCATCCAAAAGGCCGCTCGGAATGTAGTTGCTCGCGGCGTCGGAGAGAAATTGGGTGGATTCGAAGCTGCTCCCAGCGTCCGTCTGGAACCCTACCATCGTGGGAGTGGGCTCTACCTGTGCAATTGACGATTCCGCGGTAGTAGGATTGGTGAACCCGTCCGAAATAACCCTGCCTTCCGCTTGAGGGCCATCAGGAACGTAGATCGTTTCGGCAGCGATCATGTCCCAGGCGTAATAGGTTCCGGGAAACTCGACTGAAAAGTCCGTTGGTTCCACGTTTTCTGGGGTTACCTGGAACGGTACTCCTACATAGTAGCTAGCCGAGAGCTCGGGTGCCGCTATCGCAGGCACAAAAGAGCTCGCAGTGTCATAAGCAGTGAACCCGGTCATGTAAATGGGGGCCATGTCAGTAGGGGGCGGAAATCCCTGCACAAAGCCCTGAGCTCCGTGAGTGAAGAAGCCCTGCGACACGATGGGCGTTCCGTACGCGGCTGGTCCACCGAAGAAGAGAGAAAAGCGCTCTACCTGGCTGAACCCGGAGGCCAGGCTGCTCGAGAAGGGAGGGAAGCCCCCTATGAAGCTGGGCGCTAGTTCACCGAGAAAGCCCGGAGACATGTAGGGGGGCTGGACGCCAGAGGACGAGATAGAACTGGAGAAGTAGCTCGCTGTGATCTCTGCCGACGGAATGGTCTGCACGAAGCCGGCCGAGCTCCCGTTGCTGAAAAAGCCTAAAGTGTTGTCGCTTCCGCCTTCAAGGAGCGCAGATCCAGCATGGTACTGGCTGGAGGGTACCGGGATTGCTGCGATGAAATGGTAAAAAACAAACAGCGGTGTAAGGTAAAGTGCATCAAAAAGTATCGCGAGTCAAGTACAAAGGAATTGAGAAGTTATATGTACTTCCATAAAAGGAGTAAGTACACAGGACACAAGGTATTTCAACTTCAAGTCAAATACTAGTATAAATGCTTTTTTTCAAAGTAAAGTACGAGGAAAGTCAGTAAATCACAGAAGGTTATAAAAAAATAAAAAAAAAGGGTGTGCGATATGAAATAGAAAACTCGTTTTATTTTTCGACATGTACTACCTCAACATTGACACATTTATCCCATCGCCTTAACCGTGCCCCAACACCTGTGTATTATCATATTTTTCTTCCGCGTGCTGCACTGTTCTTTCTGTAGCAATCTCAACAGGACGACCAGATCGCTACTCGTCAAAAACATTTGAGCGCCCTCGGGAGAACTTTTCAACCTGGGTGTGCACCGCTTTTCGCCATAAACACTTGTCACCAAAAATGGGAAACATTTTTTTGCGAATATATTTTGCGGGGAATCCCTTTTACCCACAAAAACCGCGCAACAGCACGCTACTCTTCTACTGCACACTCCTCGACCACAGTCGCCATTCTTAAACTGAGCTGCGTATGCGTGAGGCTTTTACCTAGTTACTGCGCAATGAATCTCATGTAGCTGGATCGTGTCGCCGCCTGTTGACATATTCGGAAACTAGTCACTACTTATATCAGATATTTTATATCAGTTTGTGACTTACCAACTTTCTCTCGTATATATATGTACATTTTAATGCAATTTCTAATTATAATGTTTTGTTCCCCTATACGGTGTTTTCTCATTGCTGTTTCTAACCCTGATACGTATTTATTATTTATTTATTTATATCAAAATACTGTCAATCCCTTTGGGGGATTATAACAGGCAAATGTACATAAAAACATGATTTAGAGGTTCGCCAAAAAAAAAAAAAAATCAAAATCGTCACTTTCCTAAATATTCAAACAAACACATCAACTCATAAATTGACAGAGCAGGTACTGTTTAAGAGCGTAATGGAGGAATCTAGACTTGCGAAGATAAAAAAAAATATCTCTCAAGGTTGTTCCAATCTCTTATGGCGGAAAGAAAAAAAGAATACCTGAAAGTATTATTATTAAATGAATATTCGGTAAGTGTATTGCTGTGTTTGTGCATTGTTCTTGTCTAAGAAAAGTTCACGTGCTCGTTTTTGTATATTTTTAAAGCGTCGTTTATAAGGAGGTACAAGAATTTAAGTCGTTCTAATTTTTCGCGATCAGCAATGATCAAAACGCCGCACCCTTTTAGCAGCTCAGTGGGGGAATCAACCCGTCCATATTTGTGGTAAACAAATCGTATTGCTTTCCTCTGAACACTTTCAAAGGTATTGATATTGGTTTGTTCATGAGGGAACCAGGCTATGATTGCATATTCTAGACCCGGGCGCACCATACGCGAACAGTTCAAAATTGTTTTGTGTATGTCTATACATCCGGAAGTTAGTCTGCCTCAGTGGGCGTCTGGTGTTTCAGCTGTGAATGAGCGATTTAGCCAGTGCAGTACGACTGCTAACCTGGGGTCTTTAACGTGCTCCACGCTGTAGTGATACACGACCGCACGCCGGTATGAGGCTCATCCAGATCGAACAGTTCGATTTCATGATTTGAGTGTTTTAACGTTCTTTTCAAAAACAATAATTTGATGAGCTTGACAAGTGATATATTTTATATGCGCGTTCCAGTTTATTCTGACGTTATGACGACACCTAGAGATTTGTATTTAGTGACTCTACGCAAGTTTATACCATTTAGATTGTAAGAATAATCTAGACCATTCTTTTTTTCTTTTTAGTCAGGCACATACAAACCGTCTTTTGTTTTTTTTAGAATCATTTTTCAGCGACTGCACCAGTCAGTCATCTTCATTAGAGACCTGTTTAGTAATCTTTGGTAATCTTGGCATTGAATATCGCGATAAATAAAGCAGTCACCATTTTATTATTGGTCTTTCCCCATAATGTGTTTGAGCTTATTTATAAATTTGACGTGTAAAACGTGGTCAAACGCCTTTGACACGTCTGAGAAAAGTACATATATATTTGTCCTGTGTTGTTTATACCAATCGAGAAATCATGGAGTGTCTCCATTAGCTGCGTTATAGTTGACAAACCTCTCCTGAAGCCGTGCTCACGCGTTTCTAAGATGCTATGTTTCTCAATAAATTCTGTCATAGATTTTAAAATTATGTGCTCCAGTAACTTGCAGCACGCGCACGTTAAGGATATGGGTCTATAATTTGAGGTTGAAGAGCTCTCGACAGAGTTATAAATAGGAATATGAATATTCGAGTGTGAAATCGGGAGTTAATAAATTATTTCCAGCAATGACGGCGAATATCAGATATGGTACACTCTAAGAAATTCCTGCGCGTCTACTTACCCACAAAACACTCGAAGCGCCAATCTCTGTGATCTACGAAATCAGCTCAGCGAATGATGAGGAGAAACATCTGTTTAGACCCCAAAACTAAGTTTGCGCTGTGGCATTACCCAATGCAAGCAATGCCACAGCGCAGACTCTATTTTTAGGTCTAAACGGATGTTCCACCTCATTCGCTGAGCTGATTTTGTAGTGTTTTGCGGGTAAGTAGACGCGTAGGCATTTCTTGGAGCGTAATGCAGTCATACAGTAGTTCCTCCTTTTTTCTCCTCCATGAAGAACTATTTAGCTCAATGAAGTTATTAGACACTTATTTAAAGATATCAGGCACTTAAAGTTGTCGGGCATTGTTTCGTGGTGCTAATATGTATAGCAAGACGGGATTTGGGGGATGAACCTAAGTTCGGGAGTTGTACTTTCTTCGGAAAGTACTAGAGACATACCTTGAGTACGAGCACATGCTCCGAGAATGTATTTTAAGTACAAAGAAAAAAAAATTCGAAGTAGTTATTTTAAGTATATACAGCTTTAAGTACTTCGCGGCGCTGAAAGTCGAGTTTATACAATACACAAGTTTGGTGTTCTCGCGTATGTGAAAGTAGTGTAGGCCTCCGTAGCATGTGTCAAGGAGGGAGGGTCCAAAACTTAGCACATCGGTACTTATACTCCGTCCACCCTTAAGCTGAGACTGCAGCCAATACCACAAGCACGAGAGCTCGAGGTCGCTGTTTTGAAGCGTTCTTCTGCAGAACGAGCATTGGCGCTAGAAATGCACGTCTCAAAGCCACCAGCCTGGCCTAGCTTTGGCTGCAGTCTCAGATTAAGGATCAACGAAGTATAGCCAGAAACTGCGTTAGGGAAAGAAACCAGCAGACATATATTCACGTTACTGCAAAAAAAAAAAAAGGAACTAAATAGCGTTGTTCGTTACTCGCTCAACAAGTAACTAAGTACGTCGAAGAGCAAACTTGTTACTGAGATTCAAAGATAGCGCGTTACCTCAGCTCAAAAGTAAGGAATTGCTTTTTCGTTAATCTGTATACGTCGTTCTTCTGAAGCAGTATCCGCCTTCCAATATTTCGTGTCGCTAATAATGCCCAGTCTTTGTAACCCATTCATGGGCATCGTTCTTATTTTATTACTGGCGCTCTTTGTCCGTGAAAGTCAGAGGCACCAGCTGGGGCGAAAACCAAATAGGGTAACTTGTGTCGCACGCGTTCCCCTCCAGAAGTAACTATACACCGCTAGTCGTTACTCCATGAAAACGTAACGAAAATACGTTACACCTTCCTTCTCTCAGAAAGTCACTAAATTATTACTTCGTTACAGAAAAAAAATTAAGTACATACAAGTAACGGGTTACTTGTTGCGCGTTATGTAGAAGTCCCAATAACAGTCAATGCTGAACGCTTCACCAGTCCCGAATTCATCAAGATGACATCACAACTAAGAAAGTGGATAAAATATCCTTTCAGTTGTTTTATATCGTCGGCAACACTCCTCGAAGATCTGTAGGGAAATCCACCCTTCTATAGTGTTATCGATAGATATTTTGCGGACTTTCAAATGTCACATTTGCATACAAAAGTTAGGCTTGAACGTAGACATAAAACGCATTTATTCTTTAAACTCATAATCATATAAATCTGTGACCATTGTGCAACGTTAAAATTGGTGACTTGGTTTGTTTTACACCTAATGTCAGCAAATCCACTGACCTTCACAGACTGTTCCGTCGCCCATATAACCAGGCGGACATGGCCCGCAGGTGTACGTCCTCCCGACGGCACTGCACGGGACATGAGTGAAGCAACGCCGATCTGTGCACGGATCGATCAGGTTCTGACAGTGAAGACCTGTAAATGCAGAGGTGGCCTGTACTCGTAAGATCCCAGAGGACAGGCAAGCGCGCACCTGTAAAGCCCCAGTCGCAGTGACAGCGGAAGTAGACGGGGCCGGTCAGCTGGCACTGCCCGCCATTCTGGCAGGGATTGGGGATGCAGGGGTTCGCTGCAATCTCGCACCGCTCACCTGAGAAGTCAAAACATTTTCAAAAGCTGCCCAAAAATCCACCAGAAGGGAGATAAAAAAAAAAAATCACGCATCATTTTATTTTATTTTATTTTAACGACGCGTTAGGAACAAGCACATTACTAATGCGAACTACGGAGGCAGTTCAGTGAATTACGTTCCCGAAAATCGATGACCTAGCTCTACGCTGTGACACCGAGCGGGTTGCGATCACTTAAGACGTCAGACTCAGTGTCAGGGAAGACTTCAAATTTTCCATCAAAAGGTTTTTTTCTTAAGCTTGTCAGATGCTAAACTCCTGCCTGAGAATGCAAATATTAACGTTCTGCGAGTTCAATGCCGAAGTAGAGGCGCATAGTTTCTTTAAACTCTGCAACTTCTATGTTGCAGACTCCCCGGGAAATGTAAACCTTTCCACTTATGGTTGGAGGCGCAAAATGTCTGCATGTTATCGCGGAACATCCTCATGGCAATCATCAAAAGCTGTTGCTTTTCTGACCCCCGTATTAGATGCGGGACTTTCACGATTATAAGCAGAACTGGAAATAAACCCACTACGCACTTCGATGTTTCCACACTGTTCGCGGGAACAGATTATTACGATTTAAAAAATTGACCTAGTAAGAAAAATAAACGCTCTCACGGGATTGTGAAAGTTTTAGTAATCAAGACATTTCGGCCATGACGCTTGGGTGTAGGACGTTTCATTGCAGAGTTTGACGGCCATGAACATTTCGGTGCAAGGACTCTTCGGTAAAGAATTTCCGTAGCACGAACATTTTGGTGTACGGATATTGTAGTGTAAAAGGAGATTAGCTGCAGCACACAACATTGCGTTAGAAACGCGTCACCGCTTGCATCTGTATGCTTAAATATTCTTATTCAGATATAAGTTTAAGAGAACATTTCTTCTGTTTATGTGTTAATAAATTAACTTTGACGAACCCATAAATGTGATACCATCTTTGAGTCGCACCGTAGTCGCCCGACACTCAATGGATTATCTCCAAGTGTGAATTCACTTCACCTGGTCGCCGACACTTCAGCAAAAGAGCAAAACCGTGCAGTCGCAGGAGGTGCAACAGTGCCCAATTCAAATTTTCAAAACGTATAAATTACCATGGAAACTACTAATCAAAGTTTATGTAAACCAAGAGTAGCGTGTTCTCAGGGCATTTGATTGTTCAACATCGCTTTTATGTTCCTAGATATGACAATGCGAAGAGGCTTTACTGGCACTTTTTCATTGCGTTGGGCAGCACAGTTTAATATACACAGTTTGGAAACGCAAGAATATACATGTGTAAATAAATAAATAAAAAAAGGCGTGATCGAGTATATTGTTTTAAAAGTAATACGGAGTAAAATATACTATATTGTTCGATCAATTCAAACTGTATTACCTAAATATAAATATCATTCGAAAAGAAAGCAAGTACCTGAATTATTTCTTTAGATCGTGAAAGCACCGTCCCACCACGTGTGTGAAACAAACCACTTTTCATATTGCGTTTTCTTTTTCTCAAATTTAGCGATCCCCACGGTATTTTGATTAGTTGGGGTCGTCACGTTCACCGGCATTGGGCCTTCGCTTGAATTGTGAAGTTACCATCGCTGGACGACAATCACGGGTGATCAAACCAAGCAAGAAAACGTATTTGATGAAGCAAGCTGTTTCCTTTCACCCTGCATGGTATAATTAATACGAAAAGGGATATAAAAGGCCCATGCAATGTGCCTATAGAGGACTGGTAAATTTACTGTTTACAGCGATATCTGTTATGGGCTCTTCCCACGAGTGGAAACAACATCCGTCGTTGGTATTGTGGTCGTTGATGTTGTAGTAGTTAATGTTGCAGCGGTTTGTCGATGTTGATGTTGTAGCTGGCGTAGTAGGGCGTAGAGTGTCCGTCGTCAATGTTGCCAAATCCTTAAAAAAGAGCGCGTGCCGCCCGTGGGAACCGAACCTGAGTCCGCTGCATGCGAAGCGGATTCGTTACCACTGAGATAGGCCACGGCGTTACCAACCCGTTTTATGCTTAGGGGTTTTGTAGTACCCGATGCCCACTGCACGCGCTCTCTGGAAATGAAAACAAAAATAGCCGATTACAAAATGCCGTTGTAATACTGTCAATGCCAAGAGCTCGTTCCGGGAATCCCGCTTTCACGCGCTGTACGGAACAAAAAAAGAAACGTCTATTTGGTTTCGAACGATTTTGTTCACGCACGGTGTGAACAACACCTCGCGCCCAACGACTTGGCCGCGAGGTGTTTCAGCTATTCGCTGTAACTGTACTCTGGATTATTACAGGACTGCTGAATTTTTTAGAGGCGAAGCTCCTTAGGGTCTAGCCTTGTCCATCCGGAGTCCGTGCTCACATCGATTGCACTGCCTCCAGGATCGGCCCACTTTAAACAAAAAAACGTACGCCCGTACGGGGGTTCGAACTCAGGACCGCTTGCTTACGAGGCAGACGTCTTAACAACTACGCTACACTCCAACATCGGTTGTAGCCGCTCAACGTCTATACAGGAGAGGGCGCTGCGGTCAAATACGTATATAATCGCGTTAAACTTTGCATGCATTGGCTCGACGTTTATAGACGAGAGGGCGCTGCCGTTAAACGCTCAACTGCGTATATAACCACGATCCATACCACACATTCTCTTTCTGACGACACAACACTTGAGACTTTCAGGTCTCAAGTGTTGTGTTTATAAGAGGCAGAGTCAAAAGTAACCGCATTTTTTGTTATAAAAAGTTGAAATCCCGTGATAGACTACTGTGCTTCAAAGGTTGTTTGGCTCTCTACCAAAGTAAGCTTATACAATCTTGTGCGCAACAAAAACGAGGACAAAAGCAGAGAAGAGGGCACAACAAGGCGCAACTTTCAACTGAATTCAATAAAATTCAGTTGAAAGTTGCGCCTTGTTGTGTCCTCTTCTCTGCTTTTGTCCTCGTCTTTGTTGCGCACAAGATTGTATAAGATGTCAAACCAACTCGCCCAAACAACCACTCTTCTCAAAGTAAGCTGTGCACGCCAACCCAGCGGCTTGTGGAAAAACGTCATGTGACCACAGCATTCTCAAGATGGCCACTCCCTTGAAAGCGTGCACCAGAAAGGAGCAGCGCACAGAAATCCGGTTTTTGGGGTGCAGAGGAAAGCAAGTTCGCGGACACTCATCCCAGAATGTTGAAGCAGTATGGAGGCACCTCTGTGTCACTTTGACAGGTGTACGAGCGGTAAAAAAATGTTCAAAGCGTATAGTCAAGTGTGAATGATGCACCTCGCTCCGTTCGGCCGGGCGCTGCCGTTAAACGCTCAACTGCGTATATAACCACGATCCATACCACACATTCTCTTTCTGACGACACAACACTTGAGACTTTCAGGTCTCAAGTGTTGTGTTTATAAGAGGCAGAGTCAAAAGTAACCGCATTTTTTGTTATAAAAAGTTGAAATCCCGTGATAGACTACTGTGCTTCAAAGGTTGTTTGGCTCTCTACCAAAGTAAGCTTATACAATCTTGTGCGCAACAAAAACGAGGACAAAAGCAGAGAAGAGGGCACAACAAGGCGCAACTTTCAACTGAATTCAATAAAATTCAGTTGAAAGTTGCGCCTTGTTGTGTCCTCTTCTCTGCTTTTGTCCTCGTCTTTGTTGCGCACAAGATTGTATAAGATGTCAAACCAACTCGCCCAAACAACCACTCTTCTCAAAGTAAGCTGTGCACGCCAACCCAGCGGCTTGTGGAAAAACGTCATGTGACCACAGCATTCTCAAGATGGCCACTCCCTTGAAAGCGTGCACCAGAAAGGAGCAGCGCACAGAAATCCGGTTTTTGGGGTGCAGAGGAAAGCAAGTTCGCGGACATTCATCCCAGAATGTTGAAGCAGTATGGAGGCACCTCTGTGTCACTTTGACAGGTGTACGAGCGGTAAAAAAATGTTCAAAGCGTATAGTCAAGTGTGAATGATGCACCTCGCTCCGTTCGGTCTCACACTTCGACGACGCTGCCCTTATTATCAAACATTTAACGACTTGTAGACGAAAAGCGCCGTGTGCCTATCGATAAAATGGTTGAAAAATTTAACATCAGTTATGGCTCGGTGTACCAGATGGTTCATGATATTCTGCAGCAAATGAAGTTTCCGCCAGGTGGTTGCCAAGACAACTTACACCATATATTAAGGAGCGCCATGTGGATGTGTACAAGACGCTGCTCCGACGCCATCAAGCTGAGAGAGATCTTTTTTCTTTTTTTTTTTTGACGCACTGTTCGACGAATTCTGAATTTCTTATGCCCATCCAGATATCAAGCGGGAAATCAAAGAGTGGAGGCACGCTTTGTCACCAAGACCAACGAAGTTCAGGGCAGCTCCGGCACAGAACAAGGTTATGCTCACGGTCTTCTGCGACCATGCATAGAGACCCAATCATCAAAAATTACATGCTTAGGGAACTCACTGGCAACACAACAGCACGTCGTATTCCAAGCGGCACGAGAACAACCTGAAGTATGCGATCAGGTCAAAGCGCCGTGGTTTGCTGACCTTTGGTGTGTTGCTGCAGCACGACAATGCGCGCCTCCTCATGGCACGTGTGACAGCGAAAGACAATGATCGAGGGTCTACGTCTTCAGTGCATTCCGCATCCGCCATACTCAAAGAACCCGGTACCGAGCGATTTTGATTTGTTGGGACCACTCAAAGCACTTCTCGGCGGAGTGAAGTTCCGTGAACGGCGTTAAGGGCATGGGCTGAAAGCGGTGGTGCATTCCTGGCTTCGGAGTCCACAGCGAAATGTTTTCTTCCGCGACATCCATGTGTGTGTGAAGCTTTGGAACACATTTGTTGAACGCACCGGGGGGGGGGGGGGGGGGGGGGGGGGTAAGGAATTGTGTTGAAACTTTTGAAATTGTTCTAATTCTGTTTATAATATCATGCGGTTAAAAAATACGTTGCGGTAACTTTTTTTATCTTGCCTTGTATATAGAGTGTTCGTTAAACTGGATCAAGAAGAGTCAAGAACGGAGGTTTAGAGAAGAGGTCGAATTAAAGAACATTGTATAGGCTTCAGAGAGAATGGCGTTGTTCTTGTCCGCTGGTTCACACAACATGGTGGCAGCGATTGGTTACTCCTGTCATCCTTCAGATACTTCAAAACGAGGTCTACTGAGACGACGAAAAGGAGCCCATGGCATATAAAAGCCTCAGTATTCAGGAACCTGAAGTTTGAGTCTCCACGACTGCTCCACTTTTCGCATGGCAAATTATGAGAGACGTATAGAAGCTTATCAAAATGGTCTACTGACACATGGAAGGAAGGATAACCATCTGAGCCGACAACTTCATGTTCACGCAGGACTGTATCGCACTGTTATGAGTGTCTAAAACTCTTTCCCAAGTCGTCGATGGATGCAAGCGAAAAACAAAAGAATGCTCTTCGCATAGGAGGCTTGGGAGCGGCACAGTGATTGAGCACGTTCACACAGAAGGCTAGGACTTGCATTTGCGTTGAGTGAGGGTGAAGCCATCGGTGCTCTTGTCCGGAGCAGTCTGGGCGAGTGGAGCGAATTCACGTGTGTGCCGAGATGGTTCATTCAGCATAAGGAGAAAATGGAACACTTGGGCGGCGGGCGTTGTCACCGACACCAGGCACCGAACAAGTCGTTGTGTTTCGTGTTTGTTTTGCAAGAGACTTAGCGCTGTAGCGGCAGAATGGTGAGTGCCACCATGCAAAGTCACTACGCACGTGGACAGGGCTGCTGTGTCAAGGTCAAACCAGCTCTCTCGCAGCAGTTCTGTGTTTCTAGCAAGTTGCACTCGAACGAGCTCTCGTTTTCGGTCTTCATGGAACGTACGTCGTAGGTAGGTTAGCGTGTAAATTATCTGACACAGCGGACATCCGCCGGTGCAAGTCAAATTCTTCGGTGGATACTGCGTGTCCCGCTGCCGTCACGAGGACACCGATTTCCGGGACATGCCGCTTTGTGCGGGGTAATCACTTGAACTCAATGACTATCTTCATAACGAAAGACCGAGGTCTTCGTCCCTCGTGCAGAGACACTGAAATTGGCGAAAACAAAGAACAAACGATGGTACATAATGTTATGTACTGATAATATACCCGTACCTTTATAGGGGATCAAAACGTGATCATAGTTTTCACATGGCCATGCAACGGAAAGTGCATGCACCGAAACGTCATTAAACTGATACGTCTGCACCAAAAAGTCTGTGCACCGAAATGACCCTGCATATAAAGTCCGCACCGAAACGTCCTACATCGAAAAGTGCTGCACCGATATGCCCTATATAGGTGGTCTTCCCAGGCGGCCATAGTTGAGCCCACTGTTGCTGAGCGCGAGCTCAAGATGAGCTTAAACAACGCTTCCGCAACGTGCGGTTCACACCACCAAGATTGAAAGTCCTCTTCGAAGATAAATAGGGTATCGTTCTGAGCATGCGCTTTGAACGCTGCGCTCAAGTATGGCGCCCAGTGAATACCACCTATAGGTCCCAGTTGGTGCTGTGGCTCTGAACGTGGCATTTCTTATGCCCGGAAGCGAGCACACGTCATATTTCTCTGGTAAAACTTGTTTGTGAATTTTGTGGTACCTTAGTATGCTCAGTTCCAAGATCAACATAATCGAATTTACGGGAAGAGCCTTAACGATTAAGCTTATTCTCTTTGTAAGCTCATCTACGCTCTTAGAAATCTGGAGCGTCTACTTTCCTACAATGCCCTTGGTAGAGCCAATCGTTGAAATCTAGGGCGAATGACGCGGCTGATAGCATGCTTAGACCTAAAAAAAAAGTGTGCGCTGTGACACTGAGCATGGAATTTAACAATGTTTAATGCTACACGGCAGTTTTTTTTTTTTAGGTGCGAAGCTCCTTAGGGTCTAGGTTTGTCCGTCCGTCCGGCGTCGGTGCTCATATCGATCTTGCTGGTGCTCGTGCTCATAAGCTCACGTGCTCACATGCTCACGTGCTCACGTGCTCACGTGCTCGTGTAGGGCAGAAACAAATGATGAAAAAAAAAATGTTTGCGCAGTCGACACAATTCGAACCTGTGCGGGAAGACCCCAATAGATTTCTAGGCCATCTTAACCACTCGGCCACGACTGCGGGACGAGTAGGGGGCTCTGAGATGTGGTAGTAACTCAAGAGCTGGGGATGTCATGGATGAAACGTTGCATGTAGCCGCTCAACGTCTATACAGGAGAGGGCGCTGCGGTCAAGTGCGTATATAATCGCGTTAAACTTTGCATGCATTGGCTCAACGTTTATAAATGAGAGGGCGCTGCGGTCAAATGCTCAAATGCGTATATAACCACGTTCCATACCACACATTCTCTTTCTGACATGGATGAAAACGAACGAAAGGCTCGGCATGCTGCGGCTCAGCGTCTACGCAGACAGGCACCACCAGAGCTTCGCCCTAATCAACATCATTCACCACGTGGAGATGTTTTTTTTTTCTTTATTTTTTAGGTAAAACATATTATTAGCTTTGCCGCTCACCAAGCACCCCCAAATTTGCAGCGGTTGGCTCTCTCAGGTGCTTTGTGCGTAAGCACACGGCTCCAGACTTCTTAGGGTGTAGCTAGCCTCATAGTAGCGGCTCGTCATGATGCTAGATTAACCAGCATAGTCAACAAACTCTAGGTTTCAGTCACAAGAGTAATTGTTTCACTGAAAACTCAATGAAATATGGTATTTCACGACGTTGTGCGCCTCAAGCGAGCAAGAAATGGCAGTACGTTATCTCATACAACGGTGTAGAAACATCACGAATATTCTCATGGTCAACTTTCTGCGACATTCCGTGGAAAAGAAAGTTTTCAAGGTAATATCGACATTTTTATTGATTTGCGTTCTATGATACTCAAGCAATTAGAATCCTCGAGAACATTACGATCATTTGTCAAGAAAAGCAAAAATTGACAATTTTGTGGATGTAGCCGATATAATTCAATGCGAAAAAAAAGTAGAGCCCTGAAATAAATATTATGCGCGTCCAAAAGTTTAATTACTGCTTTCTGATATATTATGACTATCATCTAAAATATTTTCGGGGAACATTGCGATGTTTGTTGTTTTTCAGTGTAAATTATCACTTTAGTGCATTAGCCGAAGCGCTGATGTCCCAGAAAGTTGGGGATGTACTTATCTATGTCACTAGACATTTCCCGTGCATTTACTTCCCGGCAGCTCACGCCGACAGTCAATCAGTGGGATCCAGCAGTGAATTAAGAAGCGTACAAAACATTTCAATGCCCAAATTTAACTCGCTTCAAGGTAACCCTAGTCGCTGCCAGAATAAAAAAAAAAAAAAACCGCATTAAGATCATGCTTCTTGAACTGCGATTCGAATGTTTGCGTTGCTATCGGATAATAGCAAAATTTTATTGGCTCCGGAGTGGTAAGAAGTTCGGTACTCTCCACGTACTTTTCTTAATCTTTCAGGGACTTAATAACAAACGAGAAAGATTCTCCTGATCATGCAATGCATATCTCCGCTAGGACACTGTGTCGCTTCCTTATTGCCCCACGAACAGGGTTAGACTGATGTTTAAGCCCAGTCGTACTGTGGGATCCCTTTGCAGGTCACAATATAATTGAATTCTCATGCGTTCTGTGGAGAGGTTAACGTGCACGCATTTTTTGGATTGCAATAGCTCGCAGTGTGTTCTACGGGAGGCTTGCACAGGAGTCCTAGCCGGAGTCGATGTCACGGCGTTTGCTTGTCATGCGTTTCTGGCGTCAATGGCAAACAACACTTAGCAAATCGAACATCTTTAACCTGTAAATCCTGGATCACAAAAGCACTGCATGGACTGCCCATCTGGCACGCACTCTCCGTGAGCACAGGGGTTTGGCAAACAGGGATCGACGGGAAGCTCGCAGCGACTGCCTGGGGTCAAAAAGAAAAGTGCCCTTCTAATTTAATGAGTGATCAAAAAGAAAAGAGCCCTTCTGATGAATGAGTGATGGCAAATGCATGAGAAAGCGGGTGAAAGATCCGTATGAAGGAGGGTCAGAGGAGAATAATGGCAATATATTGGCAGTTCGATAAACTGTGGAAAGTTACTTATCGGCGATTTTGTACCCCAAATTCTGCTTCCAATTACGTCTAGACTCATGAAAGGGGAGCCTGAAGCCTGGCATCATGGTTGTTTCCAAACTGCTTTTATCGTAACCTGTAAGAAACAGGTAATAGCTTTCTCCGGGTGATTAGGTGTTAATAAGAACTTCTGCGTATGCATGCCTTTGTACAGGCCAACATGTCCCCCAGTGATTGTCACCTGTTCGGGACAATTAAAAAAATGAAAAAATAAAAAAAACACTTCTCAGTACGCCTTCTTGCGGTCACCGAGTAGACACACGGGCTTTTTTTTTTTTTTAGAGTGCTTCAATTATCCGTGAAACGGGAGGGTCATACTACACTCTGGGGTGGTAGTCAGGCCGACAGACAGGTATATGCGACGTGACAGCCCGTACCATTACTCTTCGCTAAGCCTAGGCAGGCCCTTACAGTCGCTGGCGGTCCGTGCTTTAAAGAACCTCTCACGACTCCTCTCTATGGCCAACTAGGTCTCATTATGCAACGCGCGCAGTGTTGAATGCGGGAATTTTCGGAAGTAGTTTATTGACGCGCGAGATGTACCAGAGGCTGAGAATCTGTCATACCTTATGGAATTATGGAATCACTATTTATAAAACATGGCATAAATACAAACAACACAGAATTGATGCAATGATACATAGACATGTAAAAAACCGTTTAAAACTTAAAACAATTATTTTAGAGAGAGAGAGAGAGAGAAAGAGAATTAGATGGCTAGGAATATTGTTGTCGAAATTTGTTTTTAGGTTTGTTATTTTAAGAAAACACTTCTTACTTGAATGAATTCAGAAAAATAGCCAGCAGATTAAAAACATTCACTAAGAAACGTATCCTGTTCAAAAGCATATATACAAATTACGGGAAACGACAGAGACAGTATTACATTCCTGTCACATTTAACAATTCAGCCGAAAAACCCCGTCACTTATCATCTAGAAAATTAAACAGTTATGTCCTTCCCTCAAGTCGAGCGAAAAAAAGAACTCACAGTGCATGTTGGTTTTGTCGAATAAAGCATTAGATTTTGCATGATGTTATCGCGCTTGGACAATGTCTACGGCCTTTAAGCTTTCAGTACCTCATCGCATTCCATAATCTTTTTTATGTTGTCAGGTGTCAGACTTGTTGTATAATGTATAGATATTCTTTGCTCACATACTTCCATTGATGGTTCTGAATTTTTGTTATGTGTTTATGTGTAATTGAATTATGTTTCGTGTATTTGAAACCTGACGATGTACTGCCCGGCCTCAAATACAAGCGTTTTACGCTTAAGCGGGCCAATGGCTTTATTTATGGATTTTAATTCCGAAATCAACTTTATCCTTATGCTTATCATTATCTTCATCCTTATCAACGAACCTCTAAGAGGACGGTAGCTGGAGCAACAAAATAAAGTGTAAATCAATATGGCACGGTCCTCCTACATTGTAAGCCATTTCATTTTCCCAAGGACTCGATGTTAGGAATTTCGCATTTCGATCAGTATGTCGAAACATTTATCACGGGAATTCATCACAAATTGGTGACGAATAGTTAGCATGCTGCTCCATATTGTAAAATTTTGTGCCTGAGAAATAGCCCCATGAAGCCGTACTTCATATTTTGAAAAGTTGCAAAATATCGTTCCCTAGAAAATGAAGTCCATTACAGTAACTGAGAGAAACAGCTATACTCCGTTTTACCGCACTATGGACCAGTTTATTATGAATATCAGAGACTGTTAGACAAATGCAGTTGAACTACGTTAACTTCTAATCGCTGTAAACAATTATTATAATTTGTTTTTAAATGTATGCATGGAATAATAGACTCTTCTCAAAAGTCTGTGCAATCTCCTGTCCGCCACTGCTTGATCACATACCCCGAGCTTTTATTGGACACTAGAGCTGCGGCAGCGTTCGTCGAGGACTCGGATCCAATCACGCGCTTCGGGTCCAAGCAATGGCGACCACCAATGTTGCTTGCTGGACTTTCAAAAGGGTCTATATTGATTCCCCTGGTTTGACATCACCTATCAACATTCGTGTTCCGAGGCAAGCTTTGCGAACCTCTCCGACGTTTGATGTGCATCAAACTGTACAAACTAGCCTCATGTCTCGCATTCAACACTCGCATAATAACCTTCGTGTAGAAGAGTTTGATATTTTTGACCCACGTTTTGTTGCTTTTCAATCGTTCTTTACCACTGCCTAATCCATCTGCTGTACATCATAACCAAGGCTTTGGCTGTTCATGAGCACATACAATAAATGAATGAATGCACGAATGAATGAATGAATGAATGAATGAACATCGGATGTTATGAGCCATCCCAGTCAATCTGGCGCTGTGAACATATCACGTGGATACGTGCACCTAGCACCTCTTTGCCCCTCCCGAAGGTCACGTGACACACTGCACTGGATTGGCTCCGATGGCCTGAGATAAACTACTGTCATTGACAGGATGCGAACAGCAGGGCGTTTCTTTTGAACGCCCGAACTCCAGCACGCGCCCGTGTTTCCTTTTGTCGTGTTTTAGCTCTGTGTGCACGCCAGAGGCACGTACAAGACGCCAGAGTGTCATCGAAGGTAGGCAGCTTGCGCTGGAGGGGGACAGCTGTAAAGACCCGTTCACACACTTGCGACTCTTTGGGACCGAGAGCTTTTAAGGGGTATTCACACGGGGGAAAAATCCCTCTTTTTGCTCCTCGGGATGCGCATCACGTGGTAACAACGTCACACCTTTGCGCGCGCTGACCTAGACATCCCAGGGGTATGGGGGAGCTTTTGCTCAGGTTGCACAAACCCTCCCCGCCTTGGCGTGGGATCTCTTCGCAATATACCTTATGCATTTTTGGCACCGCCTATCGGCACGTTGTCGAAAATGCCCGGCAGCAAGTCTCAAAGATGGCGGCCTCTTCGTCTGCGTTTTGACCCAACTGTGGACGGGGAGTTTCAAAATCGCGGTAACCGTTGGTTAAAAACAAAAAATTCCGAGGACACCGAAGCACTTCTTATGAGTAGTGAATGCGAAAGCATGAATGTCGTCCTTCCGCTCCCTTAGTTCGTCTGCGGCCTACTGGCGTGGACGGCCACGTTTCGCTAATGCCTAATGTCACATTCAATTGGGGCGCACCACACCGCACCGCACTGCACCGACGGACGCGTCGCGTTCACATGGTCGTGTCGGTGCGGCTGCACAACGTTCATTTGGGACTTGGTGCGGCGCACGACACCGGCGCGTTGCTGCACCAGCTGCACCGTCGAAAGGAGACCGTGCAACTTCGCGCACTGCGGACTGGCGCGGCCTTGAGCTACCGCTCTCCGCCTCCTTCGGCCCCTTCTTTCTCTCGCTTCGTCTTCCTCGTTTCGGTAAACATGGCGGCTCGGGAGACTCTCGCTAGATGGCGCGCGCCGCCGCCCCACTCGCGGCGGATTTTGTTCAGTGGTCCACCCGTTTATGTTTTGCCCTTGAAGTGACCGCGCCAAACGCGTTGCACGGCGGAATGCTTCGTGTTCACTTGGTAGTTCGTCATACGCTGCACCCGCGCGGTGGCGCGGCCTAGGGGGCAGCACTTTCTCGGTGCTGCGTGCACCCCAATTGAATGTGACATAAGTTGCGGCCGACGGCCGAGCGCGCGCGCTCAATGAAGTAGCCGCGCCGCGCTAAGCTCGGCCGTACAACCACTTCGGAGTCTCCCCGTGGGGGCTCTGCAGGCTCGGCGGCCAGCTGCTCCCTCTTACCGGCATCCGAGCCGCTGCACCGCCATGGAGAGGGCTTCTCTGGTGGCGTTCCTTGGAACTACGCCGCGCGAAAGCCAATGGGAGCCTTTTTCCTTGAAACTATTGCGCATGCCAGCCAACGGAAGCCTATCCCTCAGATCGCTGCTACAGACGACAGCCTTCGCTCCATTGGGACAGGGGAGTTCAGGTGCCGTTTGGCGCGGCTGCAGAAGCTGAAACGCCGGTTCACTCCATGGGACAGTTAGTGTTTTCGCATTAAAAAAAAAAGTATCCCGCGCTGACATTTGACAAGGTCTGTAATCGATCGAAGTAACCAATCATTAGGCGTTCGTTGAATCTCTTACATCCAAACTAGCGAAAGGTATTTTTAAACAAAAAAGGAGCTAAAAAGACGCGTTCCACAAATTTCAGAATTCCTTATACAAACGCGCAGCTTCACGATTTCACCGTACAAAACGCTAGTGTTCGGCAGGGGTGCAGGAGTCAAAAGTGAGATAAGCCTGGCGACACGAAGAAACATTTCGTATATCAAGGAAAAGGCCGAAAGGAGGGAATTCTTCCAAGAGATGTGTGGCAGACCGGCAAACTTGAGAATTCGAATGCGAATGCTGCATCAGAGGCGCTCATATTGACGAGGATAGCTTTGAGTAAGTTGATGGGTCACTGCGATCTAGATGCATCACATTCCGAGTGGCCTCCTATTGCGTCGCAAAACAAGGTAACGCACCGCCATCTTTGAGGCAGCCTGGATAATCTTCCTATAGAAAGTGCCAGAAATATGAATAAGGTCTATTGGCGTAATTTTGCACTCATGTCTGGCAACTTTGAAGGTTTTGCTCTGCGAGATGCCGGCGGTCGTACCGGGATCCCCTAACTTGTTGTGGCCTGCGCTGTTGCGTATATCGTCCGAGGGACCTGAACGACTCTTCGACAATCATCAATGCCGTCCTTAAGCCGCTCGTCGTACAAGTGGTTTCTGATTGCACATCCTTTATATTGTATCCACTCCTTCAAGAAACAGATTAGCAGGAAGTAGTTCGTCGTGTTCTGCATTCAATAGCGCTGATGCCATAATCGCGCAACTATCGCCGTTTTATGTACGCCTCCATTTTTCTACTCCCGTCAACGCTGACCGAGCCCTGTTGTCGAGAGTGCGATCGCTAAATGCGTCTCATAACATTGACATCCCTTTCGGCACCCCGCCGTTCGTGTGAATGCTTGAGTCGGAGTCCAGCTAGTTCCGCTGAGCACTGACGGTCACGCACATCCCTCCCCGAAAAACATCCTTCGTGTGAATACCCCTTTAAAACCTCTTAAAATCTCTTACGACGAGAGAACACACTGGCACGCATGGCGCCATCTATGCGTGACCCTGTAACTGCATTTCACTAGTGCGAAGGTTTGGCTGTATTCGCTAAGTCAAATGTGCTTACTACATATGAGAAATTATCGTTTATAACATTACAAAAAAAAAATTCGAACCCCCCTAAAAATACACACAAAAAAAACAACAAATGTACGGGATATCCAACTGTCCCACGGTTACCCGATAGGCGGCGACAGTGCTTTCTCGTCGTAAGATATTTTAAGAGTCTTTAAGGAACACGGTCCTAAGAAGTCGCAAGTGTGGGAACCCTGTCAGGGGCTATAATATGATTCGTTGCAGGTTATCTAATCTATGACGTGCTCTTGGTGTTTAGTCCCTCGTGTTTCATGTTCTCGCTTTATTTGCTCCTGTTTCTCGGGTACCGTTTGACTTCAGAAGCTCAATCGCCCCGATGGAAGACGGAGCGTTCACCTGTAGTGTCCTCCGGACAAGCGCAGTGGAAGATGCCGGAACTCTGGGCGACGCAGCGTCCGTTGAAGCAGGGGTTCGAGTAGCAGGGGTTCACCAAAACCTCGCACCTCCGACCTGACGGTGGGAAGCGGTGCCGGTATGGGGCCCCAGTTTAGAAAGTGCCCGCGCGTCCGATCTACCACAGAGCGCGCCCAGAGCCAATCGTTGAGATCGCAATGAACCAGCGAATGACAATCCCAGAAAAGGGTTAGGCGACAACTTAACGACGTCCGTGTAAAGCCACCGAGTATCGGGAATGCCGTGCTCAATGGTTGAAAGAGCAAGTCACAGGCTTTATATATCACAACTCTGTGTTCGCCTTTCTGTGCGCTGTATTTACCTTAACTAGTCATACTTTTATCCCGGACGTTGACCCCAAAATAGAAGCGTGTTTAGGAATCGCTCAAATGAGTCTCGGGACGTAGTCTAGACTGTACCTCATGAGTGGCTATCCAACCACGTATCTCAATGATTGGCTCCCAAACGAACTCTGAAAAACAGGAGCGCGAGTATGTATCTAACCGGAAGAGAGGACCCAGTGCAATCCATAGACGCGCATACCTGTGAAGTCTCGCAGGCAAGTGCAGTACACAGCATCGTACACAGGAGCTTCTGGTGTGGACCATGTCTCACAAGTGCCGCCATTTAGGCAGGGGCAGGCCAGGACTGTCACCTGAGACGGGGTAGAATCCACGTTTGGCTCTTTCAACTTCTCCGCTCTTCCCCGAGCTCCTCAAAACACACTTTTCAATTCGTGCTGGGATCACTTTTTAGAGATTAGGTAATTAAGCAAAAACAATTCGAGTCAGAGCTTCCATGCAGAATCGTATTGTAATGGAAGCTAACTCAGATTTCAATTTTCATCCGCGACTTGACCCAACACCACCTAGACAGAAGACCTCTGCATGATCTCCTCTCCCTCTAGGAAACGTCATTAGAGTCGAAATGCGCTAACTCGGCTATTGGGCTCGAGTCCGACCTTCGAGGCGCTGATTGGACACGAGCCCCAGCCGAACACTGACACAGCACTCGAGCCCAATCTCAGGCCTCGATCGGTCTGACTGTGATGACGCGGGCGGAGGCCTTTTGTCAAGGTGGTGTTGCTTGACCCCATATCACACCGCGACTTGACGCCGTTGCGTCACCCGACCACGTCACATGACGTCAGGCTATATAACGTCACGGCGTCACGAAGCACTTCGTCATGTGACGTGACGTCACTTGACGCTATGATCCTTGGCATTCCGTGATTAATCAGAGTGTGCCAGTACAAAAACCGCCATGAAAACCTACCGCTTCTCATGCATTACAATTTCAGGGTTTAATCGATAGATAAAACCGTCATAGGTAGGTGTTTTGAGAAGATGATAAATCCACCAGGTCGCCCGCGCCATCACGGTTTCAAATTTGCTCATCGCGTTAAAGCTTAGTGACATTACTCCTGGGTTAGTGCTGCTGTATCATTCGTATCGCAGGACTACCCGATGACTACACCGCAAGATACACTGACTACGTGAACTTGTACGAAGACCGACCATGTTACGTCAAGGGCAGTGTTTTGCCGAACTATACGTGCAGCAGCATGCCTTTGCACCCACCTCGAGTCGTACGTTGGTCTCCCTGTCGCACTCGTCGAACAGGACGACGTCCAACTGCCTGGACGAGTTGCGGCTGGTGTAGAGCTGGCCGCTCAGTTGCCCGTCGTGGCTGAGCGAGACGTTGGCTGTGGCCATGGCCAGTCGGAAGAAGGACTGCGTGCCGTCCGGGTCAGCGCCGACCAGGTTCAGGCGAAACGATTGCCCCGAAAAAACCGTCACTTCGGGGGGAGTGTCCACCAGCTGCGGAGCCCTGTTTC